ATATGTCAATCAAAAAATACGGGCTGTCTATTTCCATTTAGTTAAAAGTGGCTGTAAAACATTAGCTCCAGTGGTGCAGATGGATAAGCACTTGACGTTGGCTTTTTGATGCGATCGACCCGGGTTCGATCCCACCTTTTGCCAAACTTTTTTTTCTCCCTTTTCAAATCTCGTATCACATCGTAAAGGCATTTATTTTCAATAAAAATTAAGGAAATAATCAAAAAGTTGAAAATAAACTATCGGGTAGGGTTAGGGTAGGTGTAGGGAGGGCTTTATTGTACCAATAAGGTGGCATCCATTTAATAATTAACATTATAATTTACACTCAATACGTTATTATTGCATACTGTTTTATAATGTACTACAATACTGAAGTGCAGATAATTGCCACTATTTGCAACAAGTAGTATACTTGATAGTAGAAATCCTGCTATTTTAACATAGTGTAAATAGGTATTTGCACTTAGTGTAAATAGCATATTGCTAAAAAATACTGTTATTTTCACTTAGTGTAAATATAATTTCTTGCTAATACGAGATTTGAAAAGGGAGGGAAAAAAGCTTGGCAAAAGGTGGGATTGCACCTGTGTCGATCGTGTCAAAAAGCCAAAGCCAAGCGCTTATCCATCTGCGCCACTGGAGCTGATGATTTACAGCCACTTTTAACTAAATGTAAATAGACCCCCCGTATAAGTTGATTGACAGAAAGGGCAATTCATACAATACATTTAAACTGAGCTACTTTAATACAATCTCCGAACTTTCTACATAATTTACACTCAATACGTTATTATTGTATACTGTTTTATAATGTACTACAATACTGAAGTGCAGATAATTGCCACTATTTGCAACAAGTAGTATACTTGATAGTAGAAATCCTGCTATTTTAACATAGTGTAAATAGGTATTTGCACTTAGTGTAAATAGCATATTGCTAAAAAATACTGTTATTTTCACTTAGTGTAAATATAATTTCTTGCTAATACGAGATTTGAAAAGGGAGGAAAAAAAGCTTGGCAAAAGGTGGGATTGCACCTGTGTCGATCGTGTCAAAAAGCCAATGCCAAGCGCTTATCCATCTGCACCACTGGAGCTGATGATTTACAGCCACTTTTAACTAAATGTAAATAGACACCCCGTATAAGTTGATTGACAGATGTCTCATCCAGTTAGCGGTGAGTAATCCCAAACCAATGGCGCTGTCTCAAACTATACCTACCTCTTCCGGTTTGTCTGATTTGTCGTTGTGTTTTCTGACTTGTTATAATATTTTCTGAATTGTTGTTGTGCTTTCTGAATTGTTATTGTTATTTATTGTTTTTTAGACTTGCATTTGCATTTGTAATTTGTTATTTTGTTTTCAGAATTGTGATCTGCTTTGCACTTCTCGGCCACCGTACTGCATTTATGTGATCAAAAATACAGTAAAAATAGTAATATTGTGTAAATATTATTACAGTTTAAAATAACTGTTTTCTATTTGAATGTAATTTAAAATGTAGCATCATTACTCCAACATTTAGTATAAAAGTCCATTTCCGCCACTGAATAAAAAATAAAACAAGGTAACTGCAACTTTTTATCTCACAATTCTGACTTTTTTTCTTAGAATTATGTGATAGAAACTCGCAATTGTGAGAAAAAAGTCAGAATTGTGAGATAAAAAATCACAATTACCTTGTTTTATCCAGTTCAGAATTCAGAAATCATTCTAATGCTGATTTGAGTACATTTCTTCTTATTATTGTTATCATCAATGTTATCATCAATGTTAAAGCAGTTGTGCTGCTTAATAATTTTTTGTGGATATTGTGATACATTTTTATTTATTTATTTTTTGCATTCAGTTTTTTACATTCAGACTTTGTTCTTATAAAAGAGCCTCCAATCTGACAACCTCAGACGTAAAACAAGTTAAGAGTGAGAAGAAGAATAAGAGTCAGGAGAATCAAACGACTGCCACACATTACAATGCTAAATACTCCTAAATATGTCGCATAACAGCAGTAAAATAGCTTTTGAATGTCGACTTTATAGGGGTGTAAAACACATCTGAAGACAACAGTAGTGCAAAGTCCAAAATACAAGATATAAAGTTGACATCAGACAGAAACTGGCCGGAGTCGATGGTAATAGCAGTGTGCGTGACAGGATAAATGGCATCTGTTAATATACGTCAAGTGTGAGGGTGTGTGTGCGTGGGAGAGTAGAGCCAGCGGGAAGGGAAAGGAAGATGGTTTTGATATGTGTTGTGTTTACCATGAGAAGAGAGAGCACTGGGAAGGGTCAGCAGGGGACATAGACCCTGTAAAGCTTGTTCATACCATCTCAACAAGCATTGGAAATCAGTGTATGTTTTCAGGCCAGTCTGAACCAATTCAACAGGAACTACTGTAATTGTGGCTGTTTAGATTAAAAAAATATATATTATAGTTATCATACATGAAGTAAATTAAGCCTGTTTTAAGACCATTAAGGTTTTTACTTATTGCAAATAATTTATTGCAATTTATTGTTAGGAAATTATTAAGAAATTAATACTTTTATTCAGCAAGGACACATTGAATTGATCAAAAGGGACAGTAGAGATAGTGTTGCAAAAGATTTCAAATAAATGCTGTTCTTTGGACTTTCTATTCATCTGAGTATGCTGAAAAAAATTAAGCTGCACAACTGTTATCAAAAAAAAAAAATCTTGAGCAGCAAATCAGCATATTAGATGATTTCTGAAGATCATGTGACACTAAAAACTGGAGTAATGATGCTGAAAATTTGAGCACAGGAATACATTAAATTATAAAATATATTCAATCAGAAAAGTTATTTTAAATTGTAATAATATTTTAGATATTTTACTGTATTTTTGATCAAATAAATACAGCCTTGATGAGCAGAAACATTTCACAAACATTTAAAATATTACTGACTACAAACTTTTTAACTACATTGTATATTCAGTAAATAAATCAATTGTATACTTAATATGCCTCTTACTAAATAATTGTACATCACAGTTTTTGAATCTATCATTTTTCAGGCATTACAGTGCACATAAGAATTGTGTTACTTTACTGCACTACTGTCAGTGAAATGTGTTTAACTGTCTTCTTTTGAGAACAATGTTATAATACAAACAATCTTAATGGTTTTAAAAACAGCCTTCATTTTGATTATACAAAATATATTTCATTATTTTCTGAAATTTGGTCCACATATGTCTTGACAGATTTGGTCTTTTTGCAGTACTCTGAATGGGAATTATGAGCATTGTTTTGCTTAGCATAATAAGAAATGTAATATACATGGAGATGATGTGGCCAGACTAATGCAAACAGAGAGGAAAGAGCATGTGATTGATCAAACACTAATATGATTAGGTCTCTCTTTTAGCTGTGAGTCGCCCGTCTCCTCCTGCTAGCGTGTCGATTCAGTGTGACAGCTACGGAGTTGAAGTTCGATGGGAATATCCTGATCTCAATCAGGACGTCCAATTCCAGGTGAAGGTGATGCACGACTTCAATCAAAGGTAAATCATCTGAATTAAAGAAACCTCATCTTTCCCAGCTAATAAGAGCCTTTTATAGTCTCTAAATGGTCTCTAAATTTGTGCTTGATTGAATGATTTTGTCTGCCATTATTATTTATTTTTGTTCCAGGAACTCTAATGTTACACAAAATCTTACACGAAGTCTGCGTTTAAACATATCCAGTATGCTGTTTTATCCAGCATATAACCGCTACATTGTTAATGTGACGGCCGTGCGAGGAGGAGAGGAGTCAGAGCCGACACTATCAGATATCTTCAGCTATAATAAATATGCTACCGCCAAAATTAAGTGTATGTTTAGTGTTTTTAGTGGAAATATCATCTATCATAGCAAATACCAGCAGTATAATCTAACTGTACTTCCGGGTGTTCAGGTCATTTGGATTTTCCTGAGGTTGAACTTTCTCCCAAAGACGGCAAACTTCACGTCCAGTTCAGCAACCCTCTTCAGCTGTACAGAAACTCACCGGCTCTGCGCGGCCTCAACGATAATCTGGAATACTGTATCGAAACAGAAGAAGTAACGTTCACTTTCCTGTCTGCTCGCAGTAATAGTTCAACCAAAAACAAAAAAACCTCACTTGAACAATCTTCAGCAGCTTTTTTCAGTATTATAACAATTTATAGCTCCAATAAGGACAAAAAAGCACCAAGAAAGTAGCTGATGATTACATTTCTGATTATCAGTGTTGAAAACAGCTGTGCTCTTTTTGTGGAAATCTTGATTTTCTCTCACTTTAACCCAAAAGTTGGGTTAGTCCATATTTGACCCAAAGTTGGGTTGAAACAGCCTGGCATTTTTAGAGTGTAATAGTGGAAACGCAGCATCCATGTGAACAGAGCTGGAAATATAGACAAATACAAGAGTTTTTATATATGTAATTTTCTTATTATTTCATAGTTTCAGTGACTTCACTACTATTTCAAAATGTAGCAACTAGTCATAATAGACTATTAGTACACTCTAAAAAATGCTGGGTTTAATATAACCCAGTGCTGGGTAAAATAGGGACAAACCCAGCAATTGGGCTGTTTTGACCCAGCGGTTGTGTTAAATGTTTAACCCAACCTTCTGGGTAGAAACCCAACCGCTGGGTCAAAACAACCCAATTGCTGGGTTTGTCCCTATTTTACCCAGCACTGGGTTGAATTTAACCCAGCATTTTTTAGAGTGTAGATGCATCCAAACTTTTGACTTCAAAACTAATTAGATTGCAAATTAGCACATTTACCTGAGCCCTGCCATTACAATACATAAATACTGAAGGCAAATTATATATTTTTTTTTACACATGAGACAAAACAGACACCATATGGGCTCAATGCTGTGAACCTGAAACCAAAACCCAGAGATATCATATTTAATGATATGCCAAACTGTAAATCATAAATATATGCACAAGCTCGTATGATGAAATTCACTGACGTTTTTTGTTCTTCCATCCAGATCCTCCGGTCACCATGTATGTGTATCCATTGCTGGGAGTCCTTTTAACGCTGCTGTTCATAACTGGCATCATTATGCTGCTAGTGACAAAGTGCAACTCAGAAATGAAGGAGAGAGTTCTCCCTATGTTCCAGTATTTTTCTGTAAGTTGCTGTTTGACCTGTTCTCACTATTTTTGTGTACCCTTTTCAGTAAAGTATTCTGACATAAATTTAACTGAATGCAACAATTTGTGTAAGAATGACATTTCAAACAATTTACACAAAATCAATTCCTTTTTTTACTACAATCAGCCTCCATCTGTGTATTTACATCACTGCTGCACAATCCGACTTAAGCAAGACACATTAAAATGATCATAATGTAGTTACGAAATGAATAGCATTACAGTGGCACAATCATTTTTAGTTTGCTCAAACTTTCCAGTTTTGGACACATCAATTAAACAAATCATGGCAGATACAATGAAAGCACTATAAAGTGCTAGTGAAGCAGTCAAAATATAGATGTAATTGTGAATGTTTTCAATTTGTCTGATTGGTGTACTGTCCATTTAATACCCCCATGTCCATAAAAAAAACCTGTGTTATTTACTAAAACTATTAACATTTGCTTTTGGTAATTTAAGCTGAAATAAAATAAAATATTTGCTAAAAATTTTAAACTTATTTGAACTAAAAATGTTGCCTTGGAAGCACACTGAAATTAAAAAAACATAAAAGATGAGGTATTATAATTACTAAAACTAAAACTGCAATAAAAATAAATTAACTAAATAACATAAAAATATTAGATGAAAAGAATAAATTAGAAATGTTGTTTTAGAAACAAACCGAAACAAAATACAAATTAATTGTAAGTAGTAAGTACTAAAATGACTAAAACTGAAATAAATAATAAAGCTGAATAGAAATACAAAAAAATACAAAACCGATGATTGTGCACAAGTGGATTGTCTAATGTTGTTTGGTCCAGTGTTCTTCCAAATATCTTCTTTTGTGAAGAAAGTCATGCATTTTTGGGTAAACCACGCTGTGATTGGTCAGATCTGTCCTGATGTGTTTGGTGTGAGTGTGTTACCCAGCAGCATTCCTGCACTGGGATGGGTGACTGTAACCTGTCTCTTTCTGGTTTGGTAGGATTTCAGTAAAACACACGAGGACGAGTGCAGAACTCTGAAAGTGGAGCCAGAGCCTATCAGCGTTGTGAAGATCGAACCAGCCGAGGACAATAAAGAACAAGCCCCGTTACTAAAGATGAGCGATGAGGAACGGCCCTCCGATACCAAAGATCTGGGAAGTGGTGACTCGGAAGTTAAAAGCCCCTACGGGTTTAATGACCTTGTTGATAGTGAGCAGAGCAACCCGTCGGGTTTTTACGACTGCCCACATGGTGACTCGGAAGTTAAAAGCCCCTACGGGCCTAATGACCTTGTTGAAAGTGAGCAGAGCAACCAGTCGGGTTTTTACGACTGCCCACATGCTCCCAGACAACAGGAGATGAGTCCCGGAGATATGGTAGAGAGTTACGCAGCCTCACTGTTTTCAGAGGTACAGAAGTGAAGGAAAGTACCATAAAGACAGCAAAATCCCCGTACCTGTGGCCAGGATGTGTTTTGGGAACATGATGTGGGATGGGACTGATGGTACAAATACAAGCCCTCGCATGACATCATGAAATGGAATTCGCCCAGGTTTTCCGGTTTGTGGCACAATGGGAAAACGTGTTTGGCATTTGTCTTCATCACGGCACTCCTTTTATTTGAACCGAAACTCCTCATACACTAATTCAGGGTTTTTTCTTTTATTCTTATTATTTTGAGCATTTTTTTTGTTCGTTACTACTTATATTTTACTACATACTGTAGTATTATCTTCTATTCGGACAGAGTCTTATCCTGTGGCCTTAGAACAAAGTTTTACAATATCTTTTACAAGTGCTGCTCAGGTCATGTGACTCAATCCATTGTATTAATGCGGTGTTCTCGCCCGCCTCATCGGATTTGGAAATGGATCCTTGCATGGCTTTGTTGAGTTGATTACAGAAAAACACTTTATTATTACAATAATTACCCTCTATATTTATCTACCCTCTGTATCTGAGCTCTCGCTTTGTGGTTTATTATTTTAAGTCGTTTGGGACGCGGTAACACGGCCCTCTCACAATATATTGCTTTACAGATGTATCACTCTTGCCGCTCAGAAATGTTTACGCAATCATGCTGCATGTCTCATAACATGTCATTCTGCGCTTACACTCACTGATCTATATATAACTGAACCAAGCCAGGGACGGCTAAACGAACGCACTAGTCAAACGAACCGGGCTTTGGGGGTCAAATGCACTCGGGCACGGTTAAGATTGCCTAGTGTGAATAGTAGTACACCTTTATTCTCCCGCATCACACACACACACACACACACACGAGTCTCTACCGTCCCATCAAGTGTTGTCCCGCACCGCACTCAGCTGCGTTGGGTCCCGCGATAGTGCAGGTCTCAATGGTGCCTGTTATAGTGTTATGATCGAGGCTCTGGACTATATAACAAACTATAAAATATTTTCTATAAAAACGTTATTGCCATGGTTTTATATTTAGTTTGATTACATTCATATTATAAGTTGAGATTCACAAGAATTATTTTAACTGCTACTATGTAAAAGGAATACTGCTGTAAAAAAACACCTTATTTGTTTAGTGTTTGCAAACCAAATGTTATTGCACTTTTGTTCATATAGCAATACTTTTAAATGAAAAAAATGTACAATACATTACTTTTGAATGCATTATTGAATTTTGTGCACAATCATGCGATTTAAAAAAAATATTCGTTGCCCAGCACTAGTAAATATGCACCAGGTATCGCGAGCTATAATAAAATGTCACATCAAACATTAATGTACACTTCTGTTCAAAACGTTTATGGTCAGTATGATTCTTTTTAAAGAAATGGCAAGGACGCATTAATCAAAAGTGACGGTAAAGACATTATAATGTTACTAAAATAAATGCTGTTCTTTTGAACTTTCTATTCATTAAAAATACAGTATCATGGTTTCTACAAAAATATTGATGATTGAACATTGATAATCAAATGTTTCTTGAGTATCAAATCAGCATAATATACTGATTTCTGAAGGATCATGTGACACTGAAGACTGGAGTTATGATGCTGAAAATTTAGCTTTGATCTCAGGAATACATTATGATACTATATATTCACATAGAAAACAGTTCTTTTGAATTGCAATAATATTTTACATTTTTTAATTTATTTTTTATCAAATAAATGTAGCCTTGGTGAGCAGAAGAGACAAAAAAAACGTCACTGATCCGAAATCTTTGAAACACACACTATTTTTTTATATATATATATATATATATATATATATATATATATATATATATATATATATATATATATGAGACACGGAGACACAAACCACATCTGAAATTTGGTTCACATGCAAAAAGGATGTGGATTTGAATTGGAAATTTAACTTGCAGTGAATCTGATCTCTCCCTTTCCTTCTTTATCTGTATAATGAAATGACTGAACAGTTTATTATATGAAACATGTGAGGCAGGTTTCTTCACCTTTGGAGGGTCCTGGATCTGTTTGGGCCGGTTGTAGAGGTTGGAGTATGTACCTGAGAGAGAAAGATGAACATGATCATAATAAGAATAACCAGGATGGCCTCAAAACATTATTATTTTGCTTTTTTTTGCCATTTTTACTTGGTTTTCAAAACATACTGCAGTCCTTTTAATGTGTAGAAATACATACAATAATGTGATACATACACACACACACACACATATATATATATTAGGGATGCACCGATATGAAAATTTTGGCCGATACCGATAACCGATTATTCTTTATTTTTGAAAGCCGATAACCGATATGTTGGCCGATAAATCTATATCCAAATTGTTATATACTTTTTGAGAGCCTGATTACAAAAAAGGTCTCATCATTAAAAGCCACATCCCAAACACTTCAACATAAGCAGCCTAGTTTGAACGGTGTACGTTTTAAAAATATGTTTACATTACCAAATTTAGTCATAAAAAAAGTCTTACAAATAAATAAAATAATGCATAAATAATGCAAACAAGTCACTGGACATCATTACACGTGTAAAGAATCAAAATGAATGCGCCACAGATCAATAAAACAGAATAGCCTCTGCACGGACAATAATTAAATGATTTTAATTACTAAACCATATTGTTGATGAAAATAATAAGAGAAAAATACAAGTGGTTGTTGTTATTAATAATATATCAATGATTTTGAAAAAGTAACAAATTAATACCACTGTTTTAAATAGCAGCCATTGAGCTGCAGCTCAAGCTGAAGCTGAAGAGCTGAATGAACACGGTAAACTGAAGCGTTTTGCTGGCAGCTTATTTAACTCAAGGAAATGCATCCTGAGATTAATATTAATACAACATAAACATAATATTACAACTTATATATGTACAAAATGACGCAGTTATTGCATGCTATAGTCAGAATGTGTGATCCTGTTGTGGATGCGCTCTTCCCATAACAACGCGCTGAAACACAGCAACTAAACCCAAAGAATGCACAACGTTTTATTATAATAATGTTCTCATTAGAATGTTATATACACGACATTCCCAATCATAGTTATTAATGTTGTGCACTGCTGTTTGAGCTGCGTGCGCTGAGCTAAAGACGATCACCGGTAAACTGAAGCGCTCTTTTAACTTAACCAAACGCATTCTATATGAGATAAATCAGATATACATCAAATAAACACAATATTACAACGTACAATTGCACAAAAGGCTGCAAACGAACAGCGCGCATCTGAAGTGTCTCTGAAGGAAATAATGCATTATTTATCAGCTTTAAGATATCGGCCAAATTTTCTTATCAGGCCGATACCGATAACAGAAAAAATGAGCATTTATCGGCCGATACCGATATGGTGGCCGATATATCGTGCATCCCTAATATATATATACATATATATATATATATATACACATATACATACATACATATACACACACACAAGTTTGGGATCAGGACGATTTTTAATGTTTTTTAAAGTCTAATGTCTCTTCCGCTCATCAAGGCTGCATTTATTTGATCAAAAATACTGAAAAAAAGTAATATTGTGAAATATTATTACAATTTTAAATAACAGTGTTCTATTTTAATGCACTTTAAAATATAATCTATTTCAGTGATCCAAAGCTGAATTTTCAGCATCATTACTCCAGTCTTCAGTGTCACATGATCCTTCAGAAATCAATCTAATATGCTGATTTATTATCAATATATTGTTTCATATTGTGTATATATTTATATAACATTATTATATATTATATTTCTATCTGAACGGAAATTTAAGGGGGTCTGAATACTTTCCGTACCCACTGTATATACAGTACATTTACATTTTAAATAACTGTTTTCTATTTGAATGTTTTGAACTGTAATTTATTCCTGTAATTAAAGCTGAATTTTCAGCACGGATTCAGACTCACTGATGATGGTCTCACAGTCCCAGTTCTCTGTAGGAGGCTCAATGACCATCGTCTCAATCTCCACCTCTTCATCCTCTTCCTCTCTCACAGAGGGCAGCTCTGCAGAACCCAGCTGATCTGGTCTCTGACACCTACACACACAAAAATGATGAGCTCTTCATTGTTCTTGTCATGGAAAATGGACCAAAACAATGACGAAATCAGAGACGTGTACACATTTTTGTTCCCTAATAACACCTACTTTTGATTTGAAAGAGCAAGTAACAAAACCTGATTCACAGCTGTGATGTAAACTAAAAGCTGATGGCTATTAATAAGAACTTCCTCAATTTCATGCTTGCATTTGAAATGTCAACACAAAAGATTTAAGCCCTGTGCTAAAATCCTTTACCTAATTTGGTGTTTCCGGTTAGGCTTTTAAAAAATAGCTTGTAAATCTCTTGCTATGCTATAGTACCACCAAAGCTTGGATCCAATCTTTCAGTCAACTTGTTTTCTTTCAATTAGCACAGGTTTTGTATTTAGTTTTTAAATGGATTGATTGTAGGCCTCATTGATCTGCGCTTATGCACCTGCTTTTAAGTGAAAAAAGCATTTTTTTGTGTGGATCATTTTAGCAAAACGGTGCATAAGGCACGTAAGCTCATATAAATGAGGCCTACGATCTATAAATTCTTGAGTAATTTAAAGACCGAACCCAATATTTGGTGATAATGTAGCCAAACAAGTAATTTCCAGGCCGGTCATTTTTGACCAGCAAGTGTAATAAGGTGGGGAAGAAATCCCCAAAAAAAGTGCAAATTATCTTTCAGTGCCATGTTCCACAGAAAAAGAAAGTCATACAGTATTTCATTTCTGTGTGGACTATTCTTTTAAAGGTGCAGTATACATTTTATAAATTATATCATTAGTGTCACATGTTTAGAATATATGGTCAGATATGGAGATCTAACGGCTGCATGGAGGAGCTGCTGCTGAATGGCCTTACAGGGACGTTGCCGTCCTCTTCCTCCATGTCCTCTTCCTCCTCTGCAGGTTGTGGTCGTGCGTCTCTGCGTAAGCGAGGAGCAGAGACCAGCTCTGCTGGCTGGGGCGCCTCTCTCAGGTGCTGCAGGTAATTGTAGTCGTCATCAAAAAACACTCCGAACTTGCGCTGTTCCTGTTTCCTCTTCTCCACCTCCACCTGCAGGAACAAACGGCAACTTTAGTGACACAGTCAGGGGGGTGATATTTGAATGTCATGACTGCGTAACACTCCAGAACCGGTTCGGTGTGTTTGTTTTACCTTGACAGCGGGCAGAAGGACATGCTGAGGTGCAGTCTCGTCTGCTGCCAGCGGATCTTTCTGACTTCTGTGCACCAGGTGGAAGGACACTGCGTTCTCCTTACTGATGAAGGCTTTCTTCTTTCTGTGAGGCTGGAGACGGACAGATCACAAATATAATCCAGCCCACACACATATCAGTCATATTCTGCTTTAGCAGGATCACTTGAGTCGCTTTGGGTTCATTTGATTTCATAAATAAACACATTCAATATTATAATAAGTCTGCTTGCAGTCTTATTAAAACCACGTAACACAAATAGATTTGTGATCAAAACTGAAGCAGCATAAACCTTAACTGAAACAAGTCTGTTTTAGAACAGTATAGAACAATAGACACTGCATTTCGTGTTCAAATGACAAAGTTATTTAATAACTAACAGAGTAACATGTGATATACACACTTACTGGATTCACTAGCCTGACAGCTAAATATGTAAACAAAAGAAACGTTACTCACCATTCTTACAAGCTAATGTATTATCCGAGCGTTTGTATTTCAGGTATGAAGTGACTTTAATAGTATCAATGTTATGAAACGCAAACAACGAGGAATCAAATCAAAGCAATCCTTCTGTCAGCTCGAAACACATGGACAACAGCGGCCATTTTTTGAGGCAATACCATCTGGATTGACTGAAGGAGGAACGATAGTCCTGCCTTAAAGACCTGTTATAAACAACAAGTTATCATTTATATATATATATAATGCTATTTATTTATCTGATTTTAAATTATATACTGAAGCTGGTGGATAAATGACAGTGCTAAGAGACACGACCGTTATAGTTCAGGAACCCCCCCCCGATCGCTTTTGGTTTAGTCTAAACGAGGGACGTAACGTACTGATGATGACGTCGGACGCTACGCGACAGCTTCTGCATTTCTGAGGAACGTAGTGCCTTTTGAGGCACCTTTACTGTATATAATGTAATTTATATTACCCTTGGCCCCGTATGTTTGTTGTTTTTTTGTTTTGTGATTTTGTATATTTTTGTATACTTCTTGCGAATCCTAATAAAATAAAAAATAAAATAAAAATTCTGAGAAACGTATTAAATGGTTAACTTTTACATTGGGTTTTTACCTTTTAATTTAGTAATTTTTCCTATATGTTTGAGTGTTCTTATTGTTGCTGTTGTAGTGCCTGTTGTTTTGAACATTTCAATATTTTTGTAATATTTCTTATGGCTTTAGAATCTTTATTTGTTAGTTTCCATGTAAAATTGTACCCCTTTATATTTCTATGTACACTGATAGGAATCCCCTTGATTGGCATGTTTGCTGAAAATGTTTAATTTCATTAACCAGGAATACATTGTCCATGTCCATTTGTTTCTTCTTCTTCTTTCTGGTGTTGATTCACTGACAGAAATGCTTGGACCTTGTTTAATATTAACAAAATAATTTTTATTAAACATTTCAGTTATTGGATGCTCTATCACAGCTCCGCGATAACACTAGCCAAAGCAAATCATTGTCATTTTTATTTATTTATTTATATTCCTGACTTTGTTCATTTCTGCATGCACCTTCCAAGATGAAAACCTAGCGGTCTAGCAGCTCTGTGAATAACACAACATCTTGCAATTATTACAAATTCTTGCAACATCCATAAAGGGTGAATATGCCTCAAAAAACATGAAAAATAACAGTAAAAGTGCCATCAAGAACACAACACTGGAGAAGTTGTTCACAAAATAATCGTAGTAAAACTTTCAGGTAAATCAGTAGTCAGTAGCAATGGGAAAGACCCCACAAACAAACAAACAAAAGTGTGTGTAAAGAGCTGTTCAGCAAAACAGTGAAAATCCACAGTGGCACAGCTGACTCCATCCATCACATCGTTCCTGCTGGGTTTAGTTGAATCCTCAGATGTTCATGGACAACATCAAGAACTGTGAAGAAATGAAGATTTCTTTGTAACTTATAAAAAGTAGTAACACTACTTACTAAAATATATATATGAGAGCGGCCATGAATTCATGGTGTACTCGCTCATTATATAAATTTAGCAAATTTTGAACACAGAAAAAGTTACATAGTTCTGCTTTAAATAAGGAAACTAACTAAGAACTACCACAAGGATGTGAGTTTACGTTTTTGACAAATTGGGCAACTGTTGTAGTTCATGCATTGCAACTCTATTGCAAAACATAAATAAATACTGTTATGCTTTTACTTTTTCTTTTATATTTACTAATTTAAAAAAAAGTTTTACCTGCATCATGTTCAGACTGATCACTCCTTGCTTTTGACTATCTAAGGCCTGGAAAACTCCTGTAACATATGTCAAAATCTAGATTTAAATGCCAAGTTTTATTTACACTCCACATGTTTTGCAACATACTGAATATTATTAATAAATCACATAAAAACACTGCAGGCCAACACAGAAAAAAATCCAGCATTAGATATAGTAGAGATAAGTCTAAGACTATTAGTTAATGCATCGTCATAACGTACGGAACATGTTCTCCAGACGCACGATGCACGTCAGGTAGTCATCAAAATCAATGTCAAAATTTTCATCTGCAAACCGCAGACCCAGCAACTGCAAAAGCTTATTGTTCAACTGCATGCCTGAACGAAGAAAACACAAACGAGGTCAGATAAAATACTGCTTTCTAAATGATTCTGTTTCAATTGCACTGTAATAGTTCATCATGGGACTGTCCCGTGTGTTTACCTGCAGCATTAAGAGCACTGCGGAGCTCGTAGGATGACATGCGTCCAGAACGATCCGTATCGTAAGACAGGAACAGCATCTACAGCAGCACACGACACAACGTCACTGTTTTCATTCCCGAGAAATATGCTGATATTCTGGAAGATGGTAATTAATGACAAGCTAACGAGTAAAAGTATGATTCTGTAACTTACGATCCATTTCTTCAGCTTATCCCAGAAGACTTTGAACTCCTCGAATTCCAGCATTCCGGTGTTATCCACCTGCACTCGGTTCAGGAAAACTCAGCAGCAATGGCTCAAAATAATATTCACATATCAAAGAGAGTGTTCGGTTCTGTAATCAAACTTGAGGCAGAAGTGGGTTAGTTTAGACTAATAACACATGCACAGCCATTGAGAGGATACATCCATCAGGTTGATGATGCTGTGGCAGGTATTGAGGGTCAACCCATCAAACTTCACCTCTTTCCCTGCAGAGAGACAGTTGCATGACATGTTGGCTTTTTATTGTATTACTGGTTTTGGATGGTTAAAATGCTTGAAAATGGTGACAGACTCACTTCTGCTCAGAACATTGTTCAGCACGTGCTGCAGTTCTCGGGCGCTGATGGCTTTATCCTACATAGAGACATGGGGAATAGTGTAAAACATACACTCTAAAAAATGCTGACAAAGGGACAAACCCAGCTATTGGGTTGTTTTGACCCAGCGGTTGGGTTGTTTTGAACCAGCGGTTGGGTTGTTTTGTGATGTTTTTATCAGCTGTTTGGACTCTCATTCTGACGGCACCCATTCACTTTCAGTGAGACACTGATGCAATGCTACATTTCTCCAAATCTAATGAAGAAACAAACTCATCTCGGATGAACTAAAGGTGAAAAAATGCTCAGCGAATTATAATTTTTAAATTGCTGACTTTCTTTTTTTTTTTTAAAGGTATTTTAAAATTAACGTTTCCAAAACAGGGACACTTTTCGCAGTGATACCATAAAGAACCATTTTTGCTTCCTCAAAGAACCTTTCAGTTCATAAAAGTCATATTCACTATAACTCTACAATAATGATAAAACCAAAATTTATTTCAAACGGTCTTGAACTGATTGATAAAAAAATGCAATAACAAACATATTTGTACTGTTTTCCAAAAACAAAATAAAATAACACCTAGAGGAAAATTCTTTTGGAACTCTATTATTGATAATATTAATTGGAAGACTGCTTGGTTAACCCCCTTTAAATATTGTATCAATAACAAAACTAAAGAAATACATTTTAAAATTTTGCATACCATCTACCCTGTTAAATCAATCATTTCAAGATACTCTGATATTGATGATTTATGCTCCTTTTGTAAAAATGAGAAAGAGGTGTTATCACATTTATTTTTTGATTGTAAAATTACCCAAAATTTTGGGAAGGAATTGACAGAATTTATTTTTAATCTAGTAAAGGATAAATACTGTTTTTCTTTAAAGGATATTATTGTGTACTATGAAAACAATGTTAACAAAGGTCTTGAATACATTGTTAATTTATTCATATTGCTGGCAAAATTTTATATACATAAACAAAAATTCTTAAATACATCCCCAATATTTAAGGTATTTTTAGTGGAATTTGATTGTTTTATATCTTCTCTGAAATTGATAAAAAACAAAAAGTCATTAACATGTTTAAAATATTATGACATTATTTTCAGTTCCCGTTACTAATTAATGTCACACTTTGTATAGCACTGACTGTCTTATGCTATGCTCTGTTTATTATTTGTTCTATTTTCATAAAAATATAAAAATAAAAATAAAAACTACCCAGCTCTGCACTCTCGCGTGATCGGCACATTTGCTCTTATGTCGGTTAATGGTCACATGCCATGCAAGTAAAAAAATAAAATACTTTTATTAAGCTTTTTATATTTTGATTGTTTTTATTTTTGAATTGTTTATTTTAATTTCAAATTTTTAGGATTTAGTTAATTATTAGTTTTTCTCCGACACTCTGCAGTAGACGGTTGACTGGAGTTCTGTGTTTCTTACCGATCCGGCGATCTGTTCAAACAGTCTCCTCAGGCCCTTCTCCTCATCAGTCTCCTCCTCAGGTGGGTTCGGCTTGGGTGGCTTCACAGATCAGGTAGAAACACACACACACACACACACACAGACACACTTAGCATACAACATCAGTGCATGTCAAACTATTTACTTCCAGTAAACGAGTCTTTCCCAGCTCACAGAGAGACTCTAAAATGAACCATGGACCGACTCACATCCGGCAGATCTGCTTGAATGGTGTTTCCCATCTCACTGCAAACACAAAACACATTACATTGTACAGTTATTTGGTGTAAAAATTAATCTACAGGATATAATGAGTATAAATTTGAGTATACTACCTCACTGACCACCATCTGACTAATAATAAATGTTAGTTTCTGTTATTTTAGTTTTATTTAATGGAAATATACTGTATTTCCAAAATGCACTGAAGCAAAACCCTGTATTCATAAATGAACAGAGTTCACTACAGACTGTTATAAAAAGAAGAGGGGATGCCACACAGTGGTAAACATGGCCTTGTCCCAACTTTTTTGAGATGTGTTGATGCCATGAAATTTAAAATCAACTTCTTTTTCCCTTAAAATGATACATTTTTTCAGTTTAAACATTTGATATGTCATCTATGTTGTATTCTGAATAAAATATTGAAATTTGAAACTTCCACATCATTGCATTCTGTTTTTATTCACAATTTGTAGTGTCCCAACTTTTTTGGAATCGGGTTTGTATATAATACATATATGAATATAGTGATGATCATATATTTTAGACTGCCAGTGAAATACATATGCACACACTTAGATTATTTGTGATTAATGCCTTTCGGTCTGTCCATCAAACAAAGTTATATGACGTATAGTGCAATACAATGTTATGAGTCGTTTAAACTACTTTCATAATACTTATATGGTGCATTTTTGTGTATTCTGGACATGTTCACTATGAAAAGAGCTGTGTGAAGATTTTTTTTTTTTAAATCTCCTTTTGTGGTCACAGAAAAAATAACAGCATTTGAGTTTTGGAAGACATGAGTAAACTTGTTTTTAGGTGAAATTTTGTTTTAAAATCTGCACTGTAAAAAAATGATTGTGATTTTAACAGTAAAAGACTGTAAAAATGCTACAGTAAAAAAAATGGTTAACAGTAAGTTTCCATACTATATTCGGTGAATGAATGTAATTACATTTAATGTAATTTTACAGTAAAATGCTGTTAAAAATACGGCTTTTGCAAGCGAAAAAGAAAAAGTCATTGTATAATTTACAGTGAAAAAACGTAAATTGACACTCCCAGAATTCCCTGCATGACACTTCATATTTGATTTTTTTTTTTTTAAATAACATGTTTCTTCTTATTTTTTCTTATCAGTTGTGTACACTAGGGTTTAATCTTACATCTAATGTTGTTAAATTAGTGTTTATTGCATTATTTCAGTATCATGTGTGTCACCATGATGGGGTTTAGTGTTAGTGTGAATGACACTGTGCACCTTCTATATATAAGTATTGCCCTCCTCAGCTCGTAGAAAAGCTGTTTGTGATGAGCTTTGGTTCATCATGTGACTTTCTCATCACCACCAGTTTTTGGTGGTTATCAGTGCATTACAATGGTTCAAAACAGATATTAGTACTTCAGTATGTTGGTTTATTAACATTACATCAGTTAATGAAATACGGTATTTTATTGTGAATTTAAGTTAAGTCTGTAAAACCTAAAATGTTGCTACCATATTTTTTACGGTGAAGTTCTGGCAACCACAGCTACCGGTATTTTACCGTAAATGTCACAGATTTTTTTTTACAGTGTGGCTGATAACACTGGAGAGTATTTGCATGGACATACATGGCTCCAGCTTTGTTCTCTGAGAAGATCCGGATTAGGAAATCAGCCTCATTGTGCGGCTGGAAGGTGGTGGGCACCAGCAGGTAGTTTCCTGGTGGCATTCTGAAGCGTTCGGACACCTCCCTCATGTTGACGTAAGAACGGCTCCGTGCTTTGGAGCCATTGTAGCGGAAAAAGTCCTTCCCCTGGTGGTCTTGATCATCAGGAGCCTATGGGTACAGTAAGTGAGCAGGTCAGACTTCAGTGGAGCGAGAGGCACTACAAGAAGTTCTCCAAACCCATCTTCCAATACAGCATTATATTTCTCTCACATCGTAAATGGCAAAGCCAATGGTCTCCAGGTCAAGCCCCTCTTTCCTGAGCCGACGGCGGTTCTTCTGCATCAGGGCCACAATGACGCTGCACAGCTTGTCACCATCATCTGGATGGTCCAGACGAAGCTTAAACTGCGGGTTTGTCCAGAATGTGTCTGAGAAGGGAAAATTGAGATCAAGAAGAACACAAATATAGGCCTAAGCAACTCTAAATAGTGAAAATGCTGGGCCTCATGTATAATCAACAGCATGGATTAGCATGCAAACTTTTATGATGAAATCTATGTGAAGTTTGCTACGTGACACTGACCGATGTAGTTCCTGCAGCCGCCAGCAGTAGAGCCTCTGATCCAGTTGCCCTCAAACAAATTCACTTCCCACTTCTTCCTAACATTGTCCGACAGAGAATCTGCGGTCAGGTTACAGATCTCGATTTTATCGTAGTTGGCTTTGAAGTCCCCAAACTCCATCCTGCAACACAACAAATCATGTTAGTTCACACCACACATCTGAATAAGCTCACTGAATCAGATCACACCGATTCTCAGTGACTCTTTATGAGAAATCAGTCTCGTGTGAACTGGACTCGATATCTGATGGGTCGTACGTACCAGAACTCGCCATCATCCAGGGAATTGTGCAGGAGTCGTGTCTTCTCTGAACTGTCAATGGCATTCCATTCCCTGGAGCTGAAAGATGAGATTTAAAGAAAGATCAGTAATGAAATAATAGAAAGTTGCCTCGATTGGGGAAGCCTGTGGCTCTTTTTTTTTTTACATAATAAATGACTTGCCCCTCAGTGCACACAGACAAAATGCAATAACAATCGCTGTCATGTTATCTTGCATTTGGAAGTGGATGCCTGATGTTTGGGAACGCAGTTCTAGGAAGTAATTATACCAAATCATTTGGATTTTACAATCTGTTGAGGCAAAGTCACGTACGTTTTTTGTGCATCCATGAATTTATTTGGTAAATGTGTTTCCATCATAGTTTATCCACATGTTTTCTTATTGAATTGAAAAAAATTATCCACCTCATTTGAATGTTTTTTATGCACATTTTAGGATTTTAGGTCTTGCCGTTCACATCCACCTTTTTTCATGCAATCTCCCAAAATTCACATAAAAAATTGGTTGTAAACATAGGTAATGACAAAATCTGTATGATGTATTTTACTGATTACTATTATTAGTTTTTGATCATATTTGTGACCCTGGACCACAAAACCAGTCTTAAGGGTACATTTTTCGAAATTGAGATCTATACATCATCTGAAGGCTGAATAAATACGCTTTCCATTGATGTATGGTTTGTTAGGATAGGACAAGATTTGACTGAGATACAACTATTTGAAAATCTGGAATCTGAGGGTGCAAAAAAAATACAGAGAAAATTGCCTTTAAAGCTGTACAAATAAAGGTCATAGCAATGTATATTACTAATCTAACTAAGAAGTTTTGATATATTTATGGTAGGAAATTTACAAAATATCTTCATGGAACATGATCTTTATCACTGATTTATTTAATGATTTTTGGCATAAAAGAAAAATCGATAATTTTGACCCATTCAATGTATTTTTAGTTATTGCTACAAATATACCCGTGCTACTTAAGACTACTTGTGGTCCAGGGTCACATTTAATAAATGGACTTCATTCAGGTGTCACCATTAGTGGACGCTTACTTGTCGCTCCAGGGTCCGTTCCACTCAACCTGACCCCAGGGGTTACGAACACGAATCAGCTGGACCTTTGCTCCTCTGTAGTTGACCTGAGGACACAAGATGAAAGAGATAAAGACAAAATAAAAGTGTGAATCTGAGCAAAAAAAGAGAGATGATGACAATTAACATCTCATTTGAAAGAGGTTTGCTGTGGTTACCTCCTGTACTCCAGTGATGGAATAAGCGTGGCCTTTAACCAGACCAGTTGTGGTTTGGGCTTCAGATTCAGCAGAATTTGTGATCTAGTGATATGATGATACAATATGATGATAAACACAATCATCTGGAATTCAGAAACAACAGAATGTGCTATAGATCTCACTTTGAGTCCAACAAAGCTTCGCTTACATCAATGGAGCAGCCAGGCATTGATCCTCTCTCCATGGCTTTCTTGAGGATGAGGAAGAGGTTGCTGGGGGGGTTCTTCGTCTCGTACATCTCGCCCACGCCGCCCGTGAAGTCCTCCATCGCCTCCATGGTGCTTCCTCCTTTCAGGGATTCATAGCTGCCGTTCAGCCTGTGAGAGACGCACAGGAGATGATGATTGACTTACACAAACAGGTTTGACGCCTCAAAGCTAGATATGACAAGACGTCAAGGCATATCTTGTTTTGTAAACTCAAGTGCATACTTGGCGTAGGCCTTCTCCAGAAGTGCACTCCAGAACTCAGTTTGGTCAGCGGAGTGGACAAACACCAGGTTGCTCCTCACACACGGGAGTCGGTCGTCCACCACCACATCCAGCCATTTATTATGCTGCCAGAACTGCACAACAGGGTGAGTTTGGTTAGGGGTCAAGGTCATTGGGAAACTGTAGAGTGTTCAGAGAGTGGGACTCACCTGGAAATGGAAGATTCCAGCGTAGCCGCGATCGAAGCCCTGATCATGTGGTACGACCCTCCTCAGCGTGTCCTCATGGAGGGTCAGGGAGGCAATCGCTGCCAACAACCAGCAGTCTCCTGCATGGTCATACATGCATGGAGATCATATTATGATCAGTATTAATGCATCACAGTTTTAGGGGTAACACATTATATGTAACACAAGTTACGTAATCAGGTTACTTTTTTCAAGTAACTAGTAAAGTAATGCATTACTTTTTTTTTTACAATGAAATATCTGAGTTACTTTTTCAAATAAGTAGCATAAGTTACTTTTTTTCCCCCATTTATCACTGACATTTCTCTTGTCCACATCTTGAGAGAAATTGTGAGGTGCAGAGACCGAGCTTTTGGTGTTTCACTTTTCACTTTTGGTGTGTGAAAGGGCCCTTAAAGATGCCAAAAATATAATTTTGTGTTTTTTTGTTATTAAAAACAAATAAGCAAGATCAGCCCAGGTGACAAAAAATAACGCAAAAGTAATGTAATGCATTACTTTTCATAAAAAGTAACTAACGCAAATAGTTACTTTTTCATGGAGTAAAGCAATTATCGTAATGCATCACTTTCAAAAGTAACTTTCCCCAACACTAATGCATCATTTTATTCTTTGGTCATTGGAAGTGTTTTGCTCAGATTTGGGTTTCATTTAGTCATAAACCACTTGAGTAACCTGAAATGACAGGACAGCATACCCAGTTGCCCCTGACAGATGTCTGTCCTGGTGGCTCCTCCTGTGATGAATTTTGGGTCTTTGCAGATTTCCTGAATTTGAACAGATCAGGGAAAAATATCAGTCGGTCAAATCAAATAACAATGTCCATCCGTTACGCTATCCATTTATCCATCCATCTTGCAGATTCGCTGAATTTAAACGGATCAGGAAAAAAATCAATAGATCAAAAAACATCCATCCATTTTTAGAAATGTTTAGAATGCAATAATGACAGAAGAGTTGGTTACTGTAGGTCGTTTGTACAACAGCATTTTAAATTTGAACTATTTTTAAGGACATTTTGAGAAGGTACAACTCATCACATGATCTGCCGTTACTGTAGATCTAATGAAGTGGTTGATTAGAGACAGAGGGAGACTTGTGAATACCCATGATGCCTGTGTGAGGTGTGTTTGCATTCTAACTCAAGCTGTTTATTGCATTATTTCAGTATCATGTGTGTCACCATGATGGGGTTTAGTGTTAGTGTGAATGACACTGTGCACCTTCTATATATAAGTATTGCCCTCCTCAGCTCGTAGAAAAGCTGTTTGTGATGAGCTTTGGTTCATCATGTGACTTTCTCATCACCACCAGTTTTTGGTGGTTATCAGTGCATTACAATGGTTCAAAACAGATATTAGTACTTCAGTATGTTGGTTTATTAACATTACATCAGTTAATGAAATACGGTATTTTATTGTGAATTTAAGTTAAGTCTGTAAAACCTAAAATGTTGCTACCATATTTTTTACGGTGAAGTTCTGGCAACCACAGCTACCGGTATTTTACCGTAAATGTCACAGATTTTTTTTTACAGTGTGGCTGATAACACTGGAGAGTATTTGCATGGACATACATGGCTCCAGCTTTGTTCTCTGAGAAGATCCGGATTAGGAAATCAGCCTCATTGTGCGGCTGGAAGGTGGTGGGCACCAGCAGGTAGTTTCCTGGTGGCATTCTGAAGCGTTCGGACACCTCCCTCATGTTGACGTAAGAACGGCTCCGTGCTTTGGAGCCATTGTAGCGGAAAAAGTCCTTCCCCTGGTGGTCTTGATCATCAGGAGCCTATGGGTACAGTAAGTGAGCAGGTCAGACTTCAGTGGAGCGAGAGGCACTACAAGAAGTTCTCCAAACCCATCTTCCAATACAGCATTATATTTCTCTCACATCGTAAATGGCAAAGCCAATGGTCTCCAGGTCAAGCCCCTCTTTCCTGAGCCGACGGCGGTTCTTCTGCATCAGGGCCACAATGACGCTGCACAGCTTGTCACCATCATCTGGATGGTCCAGACGAAGCTTAAACTGGGGGTTTGTCCAGAATGTGTCTGAGAAGGGAAAATTGAGATCAAGAGGAACACGAATACAGGTCTAAGCAACTGTAAATAGTCAAATTTCTGAGCCTCATGTATAAACGATGGCATGGATCAGCATGCAAACTTTTATGATGAAATCTATGCGGGGTTTGCTACGTGACACTGACCGATGTAGTTCCTGCAGCCGCCAGCAGTAGAGCCTCTGATCCAGTTGCCCTCAAACAAATTCACTTCCCACTTCTTCCTAACATTGTCCGACAGAGAATCTGCGGTCAGGTTACAGATCTCGATTTTATCGTAGTTGGCTTTGAAGTCCCCAAACTCCATCCTGCAACACAACAAATCATGTTAGTTCACACCACACATCTGAATAAGCTCACTGAATCAGATCACACCGATTCTCAGTGACTCTTTATGAGAAATCAGTCTCGTGTGAACTGAACTCGATATCTGATGGGTCGTACGTACCAGAACTCGCCATCATCCAGGGAATTGTGCAGGAGTCGTGTCTTCTCTGAACTGTCAATGGCATTCCATTCCCTGGAGCTGAAAGATGAGATTTAAAGAAAGATCAGTAATGAAATAATAGAAAGTTGCCTCGATTGGGGAAGCCTGTGGCTCTTTTTTTTTACATAATAAATGACTTGCCCCTCAGTGCACACAGACAAAATGCAATAACAATCGCTGTCATGTTATCTTGCATTTGGAAGTGGATGCCTGATGTTTGGGAACGCAGTTCTAGGAAGTAATTATACCAAATCATTTGGATTTTACAATCTGTTGAGGCAAAGTCACGTACGTTTTTTGTGCATCCATGAATTTATTTGGTAAATGTGTTTCCATCATAGTTTATCCACATGTTTTCTTATTGAATTGAAAAAAATTATCCACCTCATTTGAATGTTTTTTATGCACATTTTAGGATTTTAGGTCTTGCCGTTCACATCCACCTTTTTTCATGCAATCTCCCAAAATTCACATAAAAAATTGGTTGTAAACATAGGTAATGACAAAATCTGTATGATGTATTTTACTGATTACTATTATTAGTTTTTGATCATATTTGTGACCCTGGACCACAAAACCAGTCTTAAGGGTACATTTTTCGAAATTGAGATCTATACATCATCTGAAGGCTGAATAAATACGCTTTCCATTGATGTATGGTTTGTTAGGATAGGACAAGATTTGACTGAGATACAACTATTTGAAAATCTGGAATCTGAGGGTGCAAAAAAAATACAGAGAAAATTGCCTTTAAAGCTGTACAAATAAAGGTCATAGCAATGTATATTACTAATCTAACTAAGAAGTTTTGATATATTTATGGTAGGAAATTTACAAAATATCTTCATGGAACATGATCTTTATCACTGATTTATTTAATGATTTTTGGCATAAAAGAAAAATCGATAATTTTGACCCATTCAATGTATTTTTAGTTATTGCTACAAATATACCCGTGCTACTTAAGACTACTTGTGGTCCAGGGTCACATTTAATAAATGGACTTCATTCAGGTGTCACCATTAGTGGACGCTTACTTGTCGCTCCAGGGTCCGTTCCACTCAACCTGACCCCAGGGGTTACGAACACGAATCAGCTGGACCTTTGCTCCTCTGTAGTTGACCTGAGGACACAAGATGAAAGAGATAAAGACAAAATAAAAGTGTGAATCTGAGCAAAAAAAGAGAGATGATGACAATTAACATCTCATTTGAAAGAGGTTTGCTGTGGTTACCTCCTGTACTCCAGTGATGGAATAAGCGTGGCCTTTAACCAGACCAGTTGTGGTTTGGGCTTCAGATTCAGCAGAATTTGTGATCTAGTGATATGATGATACAATATGATGATAAACACAATCATCTGGAATTCAGAAACAACAGAATGTGCTATAGATCTCACTTTGAGTCCAACAAAGCTTCGCTTACATCAATGGAGCAGCCAGGCATTGATCCTCTCTCCATGGCTTTCTTGAGGATGAGGAAGAGGTTGCTGGGGGGGTTCTTCGTCTCGTACATCTCGCCCACGCCGCCCGTGAAGTCCTCCATCGCCTCCATGGTGCTTCCTCCTTTCAGGGATTCATAGCTGCCGTTCAGCCTGTGAGAGACGCACAGGAGATGATGATTGACTTACACAAACAGGTTTGACGCCTCAAAGCTAGATATGACAAGACGTCAAGGCATATCTTGTTTTGTAAACTCAAGTGCATACTTGGCGTAGGCCTTCTCCAGAAGTGCACTCCAGAACTCAGTTTGGTCAGCGGAGTGGACAAACACCAGGTTGCTCCTCACACACGGGAGTCGGTCGTCCACCACCACATCCAGCCATTTATTATGCTGCCAGAACTGCACAACAGGGTGAGTTTGGTTAGGGGTCAAGGTCATTGGGAAACTGTAGAGTGTTCAGAGAGTGGGACTCACCTGGAAATGGAAGATTCCAGCGTAGCCGCGATCGAAGCCCTGATCATGTGGTACGACCCTCCTCAGCGTGTCCTCATGGAGGGTCAGGGAGGCAATCGCTGCCAACAACCAGCAGTCTCCTGCATGGTCATACATGCATGGAGATCATATTATGATCAGTATTAATGCATCACAGTTTTAGGGGTAACACATTATATGTAACACAAGTTACGTAATCAGGTTACTTTTTTCAAGTAACTAGTAAAGTAATGCATTACTTTTTTTTTTACAATGAAATATCTGAGTTACTTTTTCAAATAAGTAGCATAAGTTACTTTTTTTCCCCCATTTATCACTGACATTTCTCTTGTCCACATCTTGAGAGAAATTGTGAGGTGCAGAGACCGAGCTTTTGGTGTTTCACTTTTCACTTTTGGTGTGTGAAAGGGCCCTTAAAGATGCCAAAAATATAATTTTGTGTTTTTTTGTTATTAAAAACAAATAAGCAAGATCAGCCCAGGTGACAAAAAATAACGCAAAAGTAATGTAATGCATTACTTTTCATAAAAAGTAACTAACGCAAATAGTTACTTTTTCATGGAGTAAAGCAATTATCGTAATGCATCACTTTCAAAAGTAACTTTCCCCAACACTAATGCATCATTTTATTCTTTGGTCATTGGAAGTGTTTTGCTCAGATTTGGGTTTCATTTAGTCATAAACCACTTGAGTAACCTGAAATGACAGGACAGCATACCCAGTTGCCCCTGACAGATGTCTGTCCTGGTGGCTCCTCCTGTGATGAATTTTGGGTCTTTGCAGATTTCCTGAATTTGAACAGATCAGGGAAAAATATCAGTCGGTCAAATCAAATAACAATGTCCATCCGTTACGCTATCCATTTATCCATCCATCTTGCAGATTCGCTGAATTTAAACGGATCAGGAAAAAAATCAATAGATCAAAAAACATCCATCCATTTTTAGAAATGTTTAGAATGCAATAATGACAGAAGAGTTGGTTACTGTAGGTCGTTTGTACAACAGCATTTTAAATTTGAACTATTTTTAAGGACATTTCGAGAAGGTACAACTCATCACATGATCTGCCGTTACTGTAGATCTAATGAAGTGGTTGATTAGAGACAGAGGGAGACTTGTGAATACCCATGATGCCTGTGTGAGGTGTGTTTGCATTCTAACTCAAGCCCACACTCTTCACGCACTGCATATCTAAGGTCGCTCTGCAGGAACGCCCTGGAATGAAATGCAGATGTAGTTTCATTCAGAGGTCCTTAAAGTTTTACAAGCGTGAAAGAGGGGTGTGGATCATCTTATATCATTTGTCACAACCACTGATAACCTGTTCTCTAAACTCGACCCAGTAGTCTATTTCCAACTGAATAAAACCTACATCCACTTTCCATTCGATCACTTAAGACTAAATAAAAAATGCGCATTCTGTGCATTCCAAAATTCCATTTGCATTCCTGACCTGCTGCATGGCTTCATGACAAGTACTTTATGCACTATTTCGTGCCTTTTCTGCCAGATAAGTGACTGAATTCAGAATTTTGTCCTATCGTTTGTACTGAGATAAAGATAGTTCCACACGTCAACTTTATGCTATATAGATTACATTGGACCCCATCAAATTCACCCACACTTCCCTCTGTAGTGCCAATTTATATGAAAGAAAAAAAAACATTTAGGGTTATCCACGACACTATGAGATCTTGATCCATCAAATCCAGCTGGTTTGTCATGTCAGTGACATCTCATTTATTTGGGTGATCAAATGTTGGTTGATTTTGCAGTAACTTATTCAAGTCAAAAGTGCATAAATGTGCCAGATTACCCAAGTCATCATACTGTAATTACTGCATGCACCTTATCCATGTGTCAAAAATGAGCGTAAATGTCATCTTGCAGCATCATGCATACTGCGGGTCACTTACCCCGGGCCTCTTCCATTCAAAGTTAACCGGGACCCTCTGGCTGTAAAAGAGCGAGTCGTCCACAGCTGGGAAATCTGGATCCTCAAACAGCTTCCCCCTTTGCAAACACTCCTGGCGGAGATGTTCAAACGTCTTTCCGTCCGCTTGTGTGCTCTCCACTAGGGCCGCCTGCTTAGAGCCACTCGGCAGAGTCACACTGTAGGGCATCTTCAAACCGGCTGCAAGCCAAGCTCCAAAACCACAGACAGGACACTCGTGACACTCGTCTGGAGCAGTAAGCTTGTGTTTGAGTGTGCATGAGATAAATTCAGCCACTCTGGCCGGTGGACAGGCTCGTCAGGTTGGCGTCACGCCCATCAAGAGCAGAACTGGTTTGGGTGAAAGCAGGCACGCCTGTGTGTGAGGAAGTTGATCGGATCCTGCTTGAGAACTTTACTATGGTAACATCAGAAATGAGATCCAGGCAGCCATCAAATGTTACAAAAATATATTTACAAGTATCAGAATGACGCAAAAAAAAATTTTAAGGAAGCAAACAATACAAAAGTAATGTTTTTTTCTTCACGGTTAAAGACAAACATCCCATGATTGTGTTGTTGACCACCAGGGACACAAAAGAACATTTCAAACAGAGAAACTTAACTTGCTTTGTACAAAACTAAGTGCAGGGTTGTCAAATCAGATTCAAGGAAACACATCATTCAGTCCACCCATAAGTTAAGCTGTTCAACGGGCTACAAAAGACAAACTGTGGCATCTAAATTAATCATTTGTTTTTTCTTGAGCTTTCCTGGGGAAGTTTTTTGTTGTAGTAAAACTAAACTCAATCCCTAGTGACTGTGGGAATAAAAACTAGGATGAAGGTATTGATGCTGCTTCATCAGGACGGATTTCCCATCCAAAGTAGGATGTATCCAGTTTATCTGGCTTCCTGGTGAATGTCCAGGAGAAGTGTTGGATGTACTTTCAGAATTACCTTTATAAACATATGCCATCAAAACAACAGCAACGTTACAACAGAAATGAGTTGAACTGAAAGATACAAACATGGAAATAATGACCTAACTTTTTCAGGAAAAAATATAATATCTAATATTTACATCTCTATGAAAACAGCAGGCTGAACCTCTGTCCTTTAGAGGCATCTAAAGGCAACATACATCATAACAAAAATGAGCCAAAACATCAGCAACACTCACTTTACAAAACACAACGGGGGAATCTCACGAAAACCTATCATGGACATGTCCAGGCCATATTAACCAAAAAAACTAAAACTAGAAGAAAATAAAGCCTATTAAGATTGTTTGTGTTGTGCCATTAATTTTAGGCCAATTGTCACCCAAATTCTTATTGTAATAATAATAATGGAAATCAATGTAGTATTTGTTGTACTTCCTATTTTAAAAAAATACTGCAAATTATGAATTTATAAATGTTCATAAATGAAAAAAGTTTAACTACTTTTTTCCATTTATGCAGAATTATTTCAGTTACTTTATCACACCACTGATCTATTAACAATTATTTTTATTGCAAAACGTCCAGATTTTAAGAAACTTAAGTGCTTAATTATTTAGCTGAATCAACAAATTAAGGGCAATACAACAAATACCACCCTGATAAATACCTTACCATTCAAATAGCATCTCATTGTTTGTTTGTTTTTTTGCATTACAGTGATAAGAACTTTTGTTATAGAAATAATGTCACAATGCAAAAAGATCATTTATGGTGCTAAATGGCTTTATTTTACTTACAAAGTGAATTCAGGTAAACTGGGACGCATTTTGGCATTGAGTGACCCAATTATCCTGAATTAGTCAATTATTTATTCTGATGATTTTGGGGTGAAATATGACCCGGACGTGTTTTGTTGAGATTGACCCACACACATATTCTCACTGTTCCTGTTTCTCCAGCGCAGTGCCCGTCACCAGCAGCAGGTTGCAGGCCATGAACTGCACATTGAGGATGTTGCTAGTGCTGCCCGTGTACTGTCCAATCAGCTCGCTGCTGGAGCCGTCGGTGGGGGCGCTGCCGTGGGCGCTGCGTATGTCCCACACCCGCACCGAGTTGTCCATGGAGGCGGAGGCCACCAGACTGCTGTCCTGGCTGAAGGAGAGGCTGGTGATGCTGTCGGTGTGACCCCGCAGGTCTTTGAACAGGCTGCCGGATGCCAGATCCCACAGCTTCAGTCTCTGGTCCTCTCCGGCCGAGGCCAGGTACTTGCCGTTGGGCGAGAAGGCGAGCGACAGCACGGGCCCGCGGTGCCCGGTGAACAGCCTCACGGACGCCCCCTGCTGCGTGCTCCACAGGCGCACGGTTTTATCCGTGGAGCCTGTTGCCACGTAGTTGGAGTTGGGGTGGAATTTGACGCAGTCGACGTCGGAGAGGTGTCCGGCGTACAGACGCAACGGATAGGTGCGCGCGAAGCTCCAGAGGCGCGCGGTGCGGTCGTGGGACGCCGTGGAGAAGTACAGGCTGCAGGGACTCACGTCCACGTCCCAGACGGGGTAAGTGTGGCCGCGGTACAGGACTGTGTTCGTGAAGCTGTTCAGGTCCCAGAAGCGAACGGTGGAGTCCTCTGAACAGGACAGCAGGCCGGAGCCGTCCGTCAGGAACGCCGTGCGGTACACGGGGCCACTGTGAGCGCGCAGGGTCTTTATCTCACTGCCTGAGGCATCCTCATCATCTGCCTGATGACAAACAAAGACACGTGTGAATAACTCGAGATGGATGAAAACACATTAAACTATATAAAAATGAACATAATATAATATCTAATATAGTAAAAGAGAATCTCTATTGAATATTAAAGTCTTCCTATTCTTATGCATGTAAAATATTGCTATTAATTGGCAAAGTTCATATTAATACAAATATAATTGTTCATTTAGTAAAAAAGTTTTTTTTCAATTTATTGTAAATTATACTGCATTTTACTTAAAACATTCTAACTACTGCTATGCTACTGGACGAAGACTGTTTGGCTAAAACTAGGGTTTATTTGAATAAAAAAAATCTAATAAAATAATTTACATTTTTCTTGGGAAACATCCAGGCCCATTAAAGTAATGAGGAACTGTGCACTTACTTGATTATTTTATTGATTGATTTGGTATTTAAAAATCAACAAAGCTGTAAACAAATATTACAATGATAAATACTTTACTAATTAAATATTTCATTGTATTTTTTGCATTACAGTAATGAGAGTTTGCCACAGAAATAACATCACAAGGCAGACAATTTTAATGGCGATAAATGGCTTAATTATGCAAAAATAAGCAAATAAATAAATAAAAGCTTTAAAATGTCTTATATTTATGTATGTAAATATTGCTATTTAGTAGCCTGTATGGTTCTATTAGTACATAATTAAATTTTAATAAAATTGTTCATTTAGTCAAATAAGTGTTAATTTATTGTAAATAGCATTGCATTTTACTTCTACTTGAAAAGATAATATATAAAAAAAATTATAATAATAAAATAAAATTGTTAGCCATTTCAGAGCAAATAAATAGAGAAACGCATAAAAACCACCAAAAGACATATTATTCAATTTATCTTTAAGCTCCTAGCCCTTTCAGGCATCATTAGATGTGCACAAATACTGCTAATATTAATGAGTATCACCATCAGCTACTGGAAACAAGAGAGACTGACAGCTGTCACTCGCTCACCTCCTCCTCCAGCACGTCACAGGCCAGTCTTATTTTAGACACGTCGACCCTGTGAGGTCCCGCCTTCAGCTTCCTGGCCCGCAGACTCCACAGCTTCACGGCGGAGTTATCGAAGCCGGCCGCCAGCAAGCGGCTGTCCGCCGACACCTCGGCCGTGTTCAGCAGCTGATCCGTGTGCTGGAAGGCATAGAAGCAGACGGTGGTGAGCGAAGGAGCACCTTCTCGCACGCGCTTTATGCAGTCCTGCAACGCCTCCAGCGCCGCCTCGTTCTGAGGTAACCCAGCCGTGACCTCCACATGCTCCGCCCCCTCCGACCCATCCCCCGCAGTCCATGCAGTGGAGGAAGAGGAAGTGGAGGTAGTGTTTCCTGCTCCTATGCCTGTGCCGTACAGCTGGTAGTCGGTTCGGCGCGCTGCGGTCACCTCCACCTAAGACAACATGTGAGTAATGACACTAATTACAAAGAAAACAAAGCCCTTTGTGATGTAGGTCAAATGGTTTTCTTTGACTACCCCCCTCGCTGAATTCAGATCTTGGTGATTTGAAGAGGCTCACACCTGCACATGTGTGCTGAGCGCCCAGCAGATGGCGCTGTTGTCGTCGCTCTGCAGGTACCGCAGCAGGTAGTTGTACGCTTGATCCGTCAGATGCACCACATACTTGTGATCCAGGAGCGAGCAGAGTTTAGGGTTTGAGGTCACATCCTGGAAGGCCAAAAAAAAAAAAAGTTCTGGTCCTTGATTCTGATTGGTTGAGTCGCATTCGAAGCTGTTGTAAATTACTCTACAAACACACACTTACGCTCGGCAACCACTTTGTTGGAACCACAACTGATTCTGAGGAACTACATTGTTTGGTGGAAGAATACTGTTTTTATTAATATCATTACACTTTATTTGCTCCGTTTTATTTTGTGAAACCTTACTACGTATATGGAATAACCGTTTTATAAAAGCAATAAGCCCCAGGAAGCCGTGGTTTACAGTGAATTTATAACGGCTAATTAAATTCACCGTAAACCACGGCTTCCTGGGGCTTATTGCTTTAATTTATAGTGAGAGACAAGTTAAAAATATCAAGCAAATAGTGTTTAAATATGTATTTACTTTTTATATTTTATTTACTTGTATTTTAACTTCGCTATTACATTCTTATATTTATTTGTAAATTTGTTTTTTGATGTGTATATTTTATATATAATTACAAATAAATAATATATATATATAGAGATACAGATGTGTGTGCCTGTGCTTATAAGAAATAATATAAAATAATAATAATATAAAATGTTTTATTTGTGTGTATATATAAACAAAATATGTGTGTATAATATAAATTGAATGGCTAAGTGCAAATAAAATCTAAAATAAAATAAAAATGTATTTTAAAATATAATTACATATAAATGTGTTTGATTTGTTTTATATACATGTATATTTAGGAAGTGTTATATATATATATATATGAAATGTATATAATTATAAATAAATATATATATATATAAATGTCTATAATTATTAAATATAATTTAACAAATGTGTTAATAAAGTGTATATTTAATAAATCAAAGTATATCTGACCTGCATTTTACATTTTTTATTTATCAATTACAGTTATTTTCAATCAAACGGACCTCACTTGTTTACTATAGTATATATTATATCAATTGAATAACTGAACATCACTCCACATGATGGGGTCATGTGACAAAGTAGTACACTATTGTTTGACACATTTATTGTGGCATAATTCCCACTGTTATGCTAATTATGTTTTTAATTTACATTTACAGTGTGCACTACAAAGTATTCAGAAAGCAGTACACTAATATTTAATTGTAAACATTGGCTTTCTCTCTTAGTTTGCTGACACGGGAAGCAGCTTTAGTGCTAATGTAACAATTAAGAACAAAATATGCGCGTATGGTGAGTAACTGATGCTTTACTGATGCATTAAAAATCCGTGCCATCAAGTTTGGTCAGTCTCATCATAAACAAAAACTTTTTAACGGTAAAGTAACTGACCTGAGGCGTGACGACTCCTCGTAGCAGGTCTACGATGGCTTTCTGCTCAGGGTCCTGCTGGAAGAATGAGTGGAAGCGACTGTAAAACGAGTCTACCGCCCCCTTCAGGCCACACCGCGCCATGTCCAGGTGCAGGTAGAGGAAGAGCGGAAACAAGACGCCGCTCACCTCCTTCACTAACGGTGCTTCTGCCTCTGAAACAGAGAAAACAGCTGTTAAACCCAGATGTCATATGGATTAAAGCATTAGGAGCATGTGTCTGTCATCTCTCACCCTGCAGGAAGGAGCGCAGTCTGGAGAACTGGGTCTCATACTGCTGCGGGACTGACTGACACGGGGCTGCGGACACCACATTCGCACAGCTGGACTCCGTCTGAACTGCACACGCCAGAAAGAGAGAGAAGAGATGAGCATCGCTGTTACTATCGTTTAGAGTTAAGGACCCATGTTCATATAAAGAGGATTCACCCGTCAGACTGGCTGCCATCTCCTCAGCAGACTGGGAGAGTTTGGCCCCCTTCAGAGACCCATCTGTGTCTATATACTGCCTCCTCTTCAGGTACTGGGTCACCGTATACTGGATCTGCTCCGTCCGCACCCGCTTCATCTCCTGATGGAGACACGCAACACACACACATAGTGTCATATATCTCGCTTCACAGCAGCCATTAATGGTGCGCAATGCGGGGAAAAATATCCAACATATAGACTAATGCTTGGATTCACAGCATTCACTTGGATTCAGTCTCAAAACACACCAGGGAATCATATCAATATGAATGTTTGACTCGATTTTAGACAATCATAAGAATGCTTGAATATTTGATTCGATTTCAGGGAATCATAAGAGTGCTTGAATGAATATTTGATTCTAATTCAGGGAATCATAAGAATGCTTGAATAAGGGAATCATATGAGTGCTTGAATGAATATTTGATTCTAATTCAAGGAATCATAAGAATGCTTGAATATTTGATTCAATTTTAGGGAATCATAAGAGTGCTTGAATGAATATTTGATTCTAATTCAGGGAATCATAAGAATGCTTGATTTGAATTCAGGGAATCATAAGAATGCTTGAATATTTTATTTGATTTCAGGAAATCATAAGAGTGCTTGAATAAGGGAATCATAAGAACGCTTGAATGAATATTTGATTCGAATTCAGGGAATCATAAGAATGCTTGAATATTTTATTTGATTTCAGGAAATCATAAGAGTGCTTGAATAAGGGAATCATAAGAACGCTTGAATGAATATTTGATTCGAATTCAGGGAATCATAAGAATGCTTGAATATTTTATTTGATTTCAGGAAATCATAAGAGTGCTTGAATAAGGGAATCATAAGAACGCTTGAATGAATATTTGATTCGAATTCAGGGAATCATAAGAATGCTTGAATATTTTATTTGATTTCAGGAAATCATAAGAGTGCTTGAATAAGGGAATCATAAGAACGCTTGAATGAATATTTGATTCGAATTCAGGGAATCATAAGAATGCTTGAATATTTTATTTGATTTCTTTCAGGGAATCATAAGAATGCTTGAATGAATATTTGATTCAATTTCAGGGAGTCATAAGAATGCTTGAATATCTGATTCGAATTCAGGGAATCATAAGAATGCTTGAATTAATATTTGATTCGAATTCAGATGAAATTGTTCTCAACTTCAAAACAAATAGTAAGGCTTTTTTTTTTAAGAAAAAAAGGTCGCTTGTATAAATAAATTAAATTTAAATCTGAATATGACCATTTATAGTTCAGTTTATTTATTATTATTATTATTTAATTGATTTGTGCATCTCTATTCGTTCTCCAGGTCCACTCCCACCCGAGTTCAGAGTCACGCAGCCCTCAATTCGCATCATTTTGACATTCAGACTTTCGGATCATCTCTGCCTGTCAAAGTCATGGAGGCGCTGACCATGGCCGATGGTAAAGTTTCGGGTCTTTAACTTTCAGGGATGCAAACTTGTCACCTTTCGGCTAAATTCGCAGTTTTGAATTCAAAATGGGTCATTTGTGTGATTCGTGTAGATCCAGTGGAATGACAAACGTGAGTGTAAAAAATTGCGGGAGTGAATCCACTAAATTGTTCTGTGAGTCATTGCTATGATTGACAGTAATAACTGTAGCAATGGACGAACTATCTGACAAACCGATGACAAAATAGAGCTGTGCATTAAGTCATTCAGGGTAACAAAACTACAGCAGCAACAAGTGTGTGTTGGCTGAATATATTTAGCACAGGGCTGTCCAAACTCGGGCCTGGAGGGCCGGGGTCCTGCAGAGCTCAGCTCCAACCCTAATTAAACACACGTGAACCAGCTAATCAAGCTCTTACTAGACATACTAGAAACTTCCCAGCAGGTGTGTTGAGGCAAGTTGGAGCTAAACTCTGCAGGACACCGGCCCTCCAGGACCGAGTTTGGGCACCCCTGATTTAGCAGCTTCTACAGTTAAAGATAAAACTTAAAGCACTCTTTTTGATGTGCTTTTTAAGGCAATGTTTAAAAAATGTAGTTTTTAAATAAAATCTCAAAATATTTAAAGGGGTCATATGACGTTGCTAAAAAGAACATTATTTTGTGTATTTGGTGTAATGAAATGTGTTTATGCGGTTTAAGGTTAAAAAAACACATTATTTTCCACATACTGTACATTATTGTTTCTCCTCTATGCCCCGCCTTTCTGAAACGCGTCGATTTTTACAAAGCTCATCGGTCTGAGAAGCGAGGTGTGCTGTGATTGGCCAGCCATCCAGTGCGTTGTGATTGGCTGAATACCTCAAGCGTGTGACGGAAAAGTTACGCCCCTACAATACTGTGATGCCCTGTCCGGCCGGAGCGACGAGACAAAAACATTAAAACCCATTACAAACGAGGCATTTGTTGCATCCAGTGGGGACATAATTACTGATTATAATGTCTTATACTTAAGAACGGTGCGTCCGGCGGGCTTGCGGCAACCACGTGTCACGACCCCGGGCTGGACTCCGCTTCGTCCACGGTGAAAGCCGATCTGACGATCCACAGCGCAAAGTTGATGTATTTCCTCAGCGACCAGCACGGATCAGCTCCAGGCATGACGAAGCGGATATCATCCTCTTTTGGAAGACCAAACAAAGTAGTTTCGTTTTCACAACGAAGCACACAGCTCCTTCACGACATAGCGGCGGCGGCGGCAGCAACAATACTACAGCGAGAATAAAAGTTAAAAAAGCGTCAACATTTGGGCAGTGTTATGCAAATCTTCCCACAAGAGTAGTTGATCTCTTCCAGTCTGATGGATTTACTGGTTTGAAGGCTTCTCAGTGTATGATGTTGTGTCTATTGCAGTGGATGATCATATCTCTGTGAAGGTGGAGGCGTCCGGTTGGGCGTGGATGGTTTGTGGAGAACGGCTGATCATCTGGAAAGTGTCTCAGACGTCTGTGGCAAAGGTCAGAAAGAGACAATTACTGAGTGCTGAATTTGCTGCCAAGGCTGTACAAACGTTGTGCTCTTGCTGTCATTGCAGCTGTCGGTGTGTAAAGACCTCCAGCTGCCCTCCAGTGAGTTTGCATACAGCGCTGATCTCATCTCCATCACTTCCTCCAGGCCACTCGATTCTGCACCCATACCGGTGAGATCATCTCTGAACATTAACTCCACAAAAGATTTCATGATGCAAACATGAATGCAAATGTGTTTTTCACAGTCTGTCAGTGCATTGGCCGTGTCTCCAGACGGTTCGGCCCGGTTTTGGCCCAGTCTGGCTCATGACGGGACTTACACTGAGACATCTCTGGATCTCGCCGGACACGTGTGCAACTACGTCGCAGCTGTTAAGGTGTGCAGTCAGACTAAATGAGGAGTGCAGAAGCTTTTATTTCCATAACTCTTCTTCCATGAACTATTTTCTCTTGCTGTTTCAGGGCGGGAGTTTCATCGTGTCATCATACCGTGGGCACCTGCTCCGGCTCACTCCGGATTCCTCCGGTAAACTGCACCAGCGGCCCGTGCAGCAGGGTCAAGGGATGCTGTCTGGCATCGGACGCAGGGTTTCCAGTCTGTTCGGTATCCGCGGCCAACCGGCCGACCTCACGGTCAGCACTGTTTGTTCTTTAGAGGTGGAAGCAGATCATGTGTTCAAACAGTGATGGGACGTTTGGCTCCTCAGGTGTTCAGTGTGTTGTGGGTGAAGGAGACCGGCTGTCTGTACTCTCTCAGCTCGTGTGGCCTCAGTAAATGGGAGGTGGATGAGAACAGTGAGACGCAGGTGTTGAGCTGGAGCACCAATCAGATCATCACAGACAGCATCACTGACGCCATCTGGGTCAGAAACTTTGTTTTTTTTTTGGAAGCGTCAAGAATTATGTAGGAATGTGCTTTTCTGAACTTTATCTGATCTAGAAATTGAGGTCCTTGCATAGAACCAGAGCAGACTGCTTAAAGGGGTCAGATTCTTTCCACAAACATATGAAGGAGCACAGCTGTTTTCAACATTGATAATAATCAGAAATGTTTCTTGAGCAGCAAATCAGCATATTAGAATGATTTCTGAAGGATCATGTGACACTGAAGACTGGAGTAATGACGCTGAAAATTCAGCTTTGATCACAGGAATAAATTACATTTTACAATATATTCACATAGAAAACAGTTATTTGAAATTATAATATTTCACAATATTACTGTTTTTATTGAGTAAATGCAGCTTTGTTAGGCAGAAGAGACTTTCAAAAACATTTAAAAAATATTAATTATGCCAAACGTTTGACTGGTAGTGTATAATATTAGTAAAGTTTTGTGCCAAATCAGTCTCTTTTTTTTTTTTTCTTTAATGGCCATTTTCTACCTGTTTTCTGACTGTTAGGAATATTTTATCCCAAATGCCACATTTGCTTGTGAAATAAGCAATACAGCTTGTGTATTTTTAAAAATCTTTTATTAATTTATTTAGCGCTCAAAAGTTCAGTAAGATTTTAGAGTGTATATATTGTAAACTGTAATGTATTTCTGTGATCAAAGCTGAATTTTCAGCGTCATTACTCCAGTCTTCAGTGTCACATGATCTTCAGAAATCATTCTAATATGCTGATTTGCTGCTCAACAAACATTTCTGATTATTATCAATGTTGAAAACAGTTGTGCTGCTTCATATTTTTGTGGATTCTTTGATGAATAGAAAGTTCAAGATAACAGCATTTATTTGAAATAGAAATCTTTTGTAACATTATAAATGTCTTTACTGTCAGTTTTAAACAATTAAATGTATCCTTACTGAATAAAAGTATTATTTTCTTTCAATTTATTAATATAAAATTTCATATATAGATGTGTTTATGTAATACCCTTTATTTGCCTTATAGGACTCAGAAAGTAACTACTCTGAGATCAAGAAAGGAGTGAATGTCTCTTATCTGGACATACAGTACAGCAAGTGAGTCTTTTGAATATGAAACTGAATATCATCTGTAATACTGTACAGGCAGTAATTGCCGTATAAGGCAGTGACTAATGTTGTGGGTCTCTTCAGAGCAGGGCTGGTGGTGTTGGCAGCAGCGTGGCATCCTGGCGACACTCCATGTGTGGCGTATTTCTGCCTGGTCACTCTTGCAGAAAGCATAGCGCCTTCACCAGACCTGCTCACTGTGGAGGTCACCAAATACAACCCGCCCTTCCAGGTACACCGTTCAATCACAGCTGAATGATCTGAGTGTTTAGACCGTGAGCTTCCTGGATTGAAATCATGAAAACTGTGATGGTGTGAACTGAATGAATTCAGCTGTGGTTTTGTCCGTCAGAGTGAGGAGGAGCTGCAGAAGACGCGTGTGGTGTTGCCCGAGCCGTCGAGTCCTGCTGCGTACCTCTATAATGAGGAGCTGGTGTTCACCTGCAGCACTGGTGCTGGACGCGGAGGACTCGCAGAGGAGAAGATCTCCTTCAGCTCTCCAGGTACAGCCCTCGGACTGGGAAATCATTGAAGTAGCTAGTCTTCTTCCTGGAGTTCATCTGAGTTGTTTTTGCCTGTTCTGCAGGTGACCGTATCCGAGGCGGTGGGGTGTGTGCCGGTCTGCCGGTGTTTTTCTCTCAGAACAGTGGGCTGGTTGCCGTTTTAGCGAGAGAAAGTGCTTCCCTCCTACCTGAGACCATGGAGGAGTCGCTCTGCACCTCAGTAGCTGGACCTGAGGTCTGGACTCAATTTACTTAAAGGAGGCATATTAATATTTTATATACTTTTTATATATATATATATACACAATTTTATATATTTACAATTTGATATTTATACAAGTAACTAGAAATCTGAAAATATTTGTAATCTTTTCAGGGCACTCCATTATAATTTATAATGTTATAAATTAAAAAATATAAATATTATATTGAAAAAGGATCGATTTGAATTATTTGGCAGTTTTTTTGTGTGTTGTGTATAGAAATTTATAATGTTTTAATTTAAGTGACTAGAAATCAGGATTTTTTTTCTTTTCATGGCACTTTATTATAAATTGGCATTTTATAAATTTAAACATTTATTATGTTTTATGAATTCACAGTTTTGTGTATTTATGAATTAGTGTCTGGTAAAATAAATTTAATTTATATGTATAAAGAAATGTATGTTTTAATTTATTTAAGTGACTAAATCAGGATTGTTTTTCTTTTCATGGCACTTCATTATAAATGTACATTTTATAAATGTAAACATTTATTATTTTAAATAATTTATGAATTTCACAGTTTTTGTGCATTTATGAACTAGTTTCTGGTAAAATATGTAATTTATGTGTATGTAGAAATGTATAATATTTAAATTTATTTAAGTGACTAAATCAGGGCAATCCATTATAAATTAAACAATATGATCAATTTAAACATTTATTACATTTAAAGTATTTTATTAATTATTTCAGTTTATTGTGTATTCATAAGCTAGTCTCTGATAAAAAAATATATATGTAATGTTTATAACTAGAAATCTGGAAATATTTTTTACTTTTAAGGGCACTCCTTTATAAAAAATAAACATACATTTAAAAGTATAATTATATATATTTTTTACAAAAGTTAGTTACTTGGCAGTTTTTTGTATATTCATGAACTAGTCTCTGGTAAATATATTTAGAATTTGTATGCATGCATGTATGTATGGATTTATAATGTTTTAATTTATTCAAGGAAATATTTTTTACCTTGTCAGGGCACTCCATTAGAGACGCCACCTAAAATAGACATGGTGGCCCAGGAGGACAAAACTAAACTGCTGAAGCAAGCGTTCCTACAGTTCTGCCGGTGAGTTTCCTTCACTTCGCTTGTGTTTGGGACTGTTGAATCAGTGACTGCAGCTCACAGATGCTCTGCTGTGCTTTGATCTGCAGTCATGATCTGGTTGGAGCTCAGAGCATGGTGTACGAGCTCTTTCCCAGCGATGGAGAGGGAAGTGCGGAGCTGGATGCCGTCGTGACCCAGATTGACCTGGACCTGGTGGACGACTACCCTGCATGTGACCCACGCTGGGCCGAGTCTGTTCCTGATGGTGAGAGATGGGGAGAAAACCTTTCATTTTTCCCCCGATAAATTATAAGTTCTTCTAAACAATCTAAAATTTATACAAGATAATTAAGAAAATCTTTTGTCCATAAATATTTCTTATCAAAAATGAAGGTATATTTGTAATTATTTTTATTAATAAATAATAAATGATTCATTAAAGGTTAGTTTTATACATATGTGTGTGTGTTTGTGCGTGTGTATTCAAACAAAATAATACAGAGAGACTTTTTATATATTATTTAACATATATTTAATATAAAATTCAAAAAATAATTCCTCTCAATAAATTGTATTGATTTATTTAGTGTGTAATTGTTGTTTTTTTTTGTGTTTTTTTTGCCTGAATTCATGAGCTAGTTTCTGGTAAGAAATACACCTGTCAGGCACATTTTGATTTTGATCTTTATCATTTCTTTTTTGTGGCTTATTGTGGAGAATATTCCACATATGTGTTGTCACATGGAGTCTAAAAGACAAACTTCTACGTTAAACCTAAGATGGCAAAAGTTGTTCATTTTGGACCCTGGTCAATTTGTAGTTTGTGTGTTTTGTCCTGTAGAGGGCGCTGGATTTACACTGACGTCTCTGATCCTGCTGCATCAGTTGGAGGATAAGATGAAAGCTCACCGCTGCCTCATGGACTTCCTGCTTCAGGTTCCTCAATAGCCACACAGTCTATGAGATACGCTTTCATTCTTCTCACAGTATTCAGCAGTGCTCTTTCTTTCTTTCTGTCCGCTCTACAGACAGGACTTCTAGATCGTCTCACTTCCACAACGGTGCGCATGTCCCCCATGTCCACGCGACTCTTGCTATGTGAACATGCGGAGAAGCTCTCGGCCGCCATTGTGCTGAAGAACCATCATGCCAAGCATCCAGAGCTGGTGAACACGGCCATCCTGTCAGCACTGAAGAAGAGCAACACCGACATACTGGCCAACCTCACGCCCGCGGACGTGTTCTTCAGAGAGGTGCCAGACTTCAGCACCCTGTTCATCAAACTGCAATGGAGAATATATATATTTCTCTCTGCTTTATCTCATGTCTGTGTCTCCAGGTGTCTCAGATCTCCTCCATCTTTGAGTGTCTGTTGGATGAAGAGGAAAAAGCTTTAAAAGAGCATTCGGATGCTGCCAGGTGGGCCGAGGTGGTGCTCAACGTCAATGACATTGTCAAGGTGCACAGCAGTCTTTCTTACATATTCATTAATTCCTGCATTCAGATATTCTTGAATCTGTGGGCCAGGTTGAATGTATCTAAGTACTTGTCATTTTTATCCCATAAAGAGAGAGATTTTTTTGTAGAATACACAGTACTTGACAGATGTTTGGAAACATTATGATTTTTAAATGTTTCTGAAAGGAGTCTCTTCTGCTCACCAAGGCTGCATATATGTGCTCAAAATGCATTAAAATCAGTAATATTGTGAAAAAGTATTACAGTTTAAAATAACTGTTTTCTGTTTGAATATATTTTGAAATGTAATTTATTCCTGTGATCAAAGCTGAAATTTCAGCATCATTACTCCAGTCTTCAGTGTCACATGATCCTTCAGATATCATTGTTAAAAAAAAAAAGTGACAGTAGAGACATTTATAATGTTACAAGAGATTTCTATTTTAAATAAATTAAATAAATAAATCTTTTAAGTAAATAAATTAAATAAATCCTGAATATTTTTTTCATGTTTTAAGCATCAGTTTTTTTTCAATGCTGATAATTTAATATCAAATACATTTTTAAAATGTATTTAATAATTGTATAATTTGTAAAGCAAACTGTTAAAAGTTTTTCCTACAAAACTAAATATTAAAGAATATTTTGCACATCATCATCATCTTCCAGTTTGTGAAATGAATAATCATGTTGTTTTGTGTGGTAGGATATGCTTCAAGCAGCAGCGCAGTACCGAGAGACCAAAGCATCTCTGTACAGAGCGCCAGAGAACTGCGGCCCTGAGCCCGAGTACATCCCATGGACAGGTAAACACACCTGAAAGGACTTCCTCTTCTTTTATTGACTACCACAGCACTATAAACACAAAAGCAGCTCTCCATCAGTATGAGCGTCATAGTTTCTTCCTCTCAGCCTCAGGAGGAGCGGGTGGAGTTCGGACCGTCATCACACGGCAACACGAGCTGATCCTGCGCGCGGCGTATCCTCACGCAGACGCGGAGCTGCGCGGCGTGCTGAGCGAGCAGCTGGTGGCGCTGTTGGACTCTCTGTTGAGCGGTTACGTGTCTCAGCTGACGTCTCTCCGCCGCACCGGACAACAGGAGCGCTACGTCATGCTGGAGAATGAGTACACGCAGAAACGCTCGGAGCTGCTCGCACCTCTCCGTGAGTTTTGATTGCTCATTTTACATGTCAGAATAAGCTGAGAAACGGACCAGATTATGTGCTTTATAGTTTTGTGTTGTCTGTGGCAGTGGAGTTGGGTCAGCATCAGTGGGTTGCGGCGCTGGCGGAGAAATACTGTGACTTTGACATATTGGTGCAGTTGTGCGAGCGAACGGATAACCAGAGTCGACTACAGCAGTACATGGTCAAATTCGCTGATCAGGTAAGAACCCCACCGGACCAAGAACTCTTAAATGTCAACACAAGCCACATACACTATCGCTCAAAAGTTTGGGGTCTGTATAGTGTTTTTAAAGGAAATTAATACTTTGTTATCAAGGATGCATTAAACTGATTAAAAGTGACAGTAAAGACATTTTTAATCTTAGGTCTGGGACGCCATATATGGAGCCCGGAGCGCGGCGCGGCGCAGACGCGGAGCCCCTCCGCTCGACCCACCGACACCCAAATATGGACGAGGATCGGGAGGAATTCCATTCGAATGCACGGACATTCCTTAATGGTTGTCGGAAGAGCAGGAAAAGCAGAGGACGGTGTATATAAGATGCAGCGCCTGCGGGTCATATAGCAGGAGCCGGCGGCACTTCAGTTTCACTTCACGACTCTGAGAGCAGCCACAGGTAAGCGCTATTTCACGAGGTCGGAAACTAGATTAAAAAGGACAGCGATTCGGAATCGGAAAATGTACGATGTGAATGCAGGGATTTGACGCTAATCATTATACAGCTGTTTCGCTTTTGACTTTGACTTTTAAAAAAAAAAATCACAACTTTTTTTATTCACTTCATTGCACTTACTCATATCAGAAACTTTTCTCTGTGTATCTTAACTGAATTTAATTTAAAAACAGTGGTCTTTAACTATATAAATCATCGGAGTGCGTTTTTTGTTTAGCTATTTTTAATAATTTAGTATATGTTTACATTTATTTGATCATATTGGTGCAAATGGAAATACAAATCGTATTTGACAATAAAAAATAACTGTTTCTCACATCTTTTCATTCAGATTCCACTCAGCTATTTAGTATGCTATAATTAAGAATCCTATTAATGCAGTTTCTCAATGTAAACTAATCATTTATCTGTTTGTTTGTTTTGGATAATGCTGTCAGTTCTCAACCAACTTGGTTTCCAGTTTGAGTGATAATGATTTTGTCGGGGTTGTAGAGTCCTTCAACTTCTCTATGGCTTTTTCTCATTGACTTTAATTGTAGAAACCATCAAGATGTGTGATGACGATGAGACTACAGCTTTGGTGTGCGACAATGGCTCTGGCCTGGTGAAGGCTGGTTTCGCCGGTGATGACGCCCCCAGGGCTGTCTTCCCTTCTATCGTCGGCCGCCCACGTCACCAGGTATATACAGAGATCCTTCCTGGATCTGTATTTGCCGTCGCAAGGGAATGATTGTATGGGTTTTCTTTGGGCTATTCTGATCATGCTGTATCCCTTGTATAGGGTGTGATGGTCGGTATGGGTCAGAAAGACTCCTACGTTGGAGACGAGGCTCAGAGCAAGAGAGGTATCCTGACCCTGAAGTACCCAATCGAGCACGGCATCATCACCAACTGGGACGACATGGAGAAGATCTGGCACCACACCTTCTACAACGAGCTCCGAGTGGCCCCCGAGGAGCACCCAACCCTGCTCACCGAGGCCCCTCTGAACCCCAAGGCTAACCGTGAGAAGATGACCCAGATCATGTTTGAGACCTTCAACGTCCCCGCCATGTACGTGGCCATCCAAGCCGTCCTGTCCCTGTACGCTTCTGGCCGAACCACCGGTAAGACAACATGCTGTAACTGAAAGAGCAACAGTTATATAATTACACACAGGGTATTTGACACAGTTGTAATGCTTACTGTTAGCTCTGACTGATTTCTGGTTCCCGGCTGTTATTAGGTATTGTGCTGGACTCTGGCGATGGTGTGACCCACAATGTGCCCATCTATGAGGGTTACGCTCTTCCCCACGCCATCATGCGTCTGGACTTGGCTGGTCGCGATCTGACAGACTACCTGATGAAGATCCTGACCGAGCGCGGATACTCTTTCGTCACAACCGGTGTGTACCTGGTCACTTTTTTACTGGGATATTTCTAGCATGTGTGAAACAGACCAAATAAACAACTCTCGATTTGTCGTCCACCACAGCCGAGCGTGAGATTGTCCGTGACATCAAGGAGAAGCTCTGCTATGTCGCCCTGGACTTTGAGAATGAGATGGCCACCGCCGCCTCCTCATCCTCCCTCGAGAAGAGCTACGAGCTTCCCGACGGTCAGGTCATCACCATCGGTAACGAGCGTTTCCGTTGCCCTGAGACCCTGTTCCAGCCTTCCTTCATTGGTATGTTTGAAAACATCTGAAATTATCGGTTGTTGTCTTACCTTCTAGTCCTCGATTTATATGCTCTCATCAAAACAATTGCACAGGTATGGAGTCTGCTGGCATTCACGAGACCGCTTACAACAGCATCATGAAGTGCGACATTGACATCAGGAAGGACCTGTACGCCAACAACGTCCTTTCAGGTGGTACTACAATGTACCCTGGTATTGCTGACCGTATGCAGAAGGAGATCACAGCCCTGGCTCCCAGCACAATGAAGATCAAGGTAATAGGGCCTAGAGCTTTAAAACTCAAGCTTTTTGCAGAGTTGCTTTTTCCATGTTGACTTTAAAACCGCAGACTGTTTTTTTGGATAATATTTGATCTCCTCTTCTTCTGTAGATTATTGCTCCCCCTGAGCGTAAGTACTCTGTCTGGATCGGCGGGTCCATTCTGGCTTCCCTGTCCACCTTCCAGCAGATGTGGATCACCAAGCAGGAATACGACGAGGCCGGCCCCAGCATCGTCCACCGCAAGTGCTTCTAAGCTCCCGGCTCACCATCCTATCATTGCTTCCTGCTCAGGAACCAAGCGACGGCGCATTGCTCCTGTGGACAGCTTTTCCACAGTCGTCATTTATGCGATGGCGTAGGAGCATAAACTGAGAAAAGGACACTAATGTCAAGGGAGAGAAAAATACCAAGCACTCTCATTGCACACAAATGTATTTATTACTGACTTCCATGGCTTGGTATTTTGGCGAATGCTGTTTGAAATGGAAGGACCCCGCTCCCTTAGATTCCAGTGACTCTGATATACGTTCCAATGTACACCCGGTCCAGTTGATGACCAACACAAATCACACTTCAACAGACAAATAAAACTGAAAATCTATTTTTAAACATGGTACTCGTCAATGAATATGTCATTTCAGTATTCTTATAAGATACAGTACACTAGGATTCAGTCCACATTGAGACAGACTAAACATAACTTATCCAACCTCTAACACGGCACGAAGTCTTGTTATGTCTGGATTTCTGACAACTATAAACCATCTGGGCTGTTTAAGTGGGCTCTAATGGAGGATGAATGCGCATGGGACAATGAATGGATCACAGAAGCATTACAGTAGCACTGACAGTCTTACAGTTTATAAAGGAATCATAAACTTTATTAGCTTATACCCGATTAGATTGATTACTTATAAACCTCAAAGGAATAACAGTACTGATTTAATACTGAATAATTTTCTTCTTTATATGGTAACTTTTGTTAGCTGTTAAGACATTTTTTTTAAACCAAAGTACATTGTATTACCAACAATGTATCATACCTCCATAAAATGTTTTGTTGTTGATAATTACGAGCTAATTTCGACTCATTCATGTTAACGTTTAACCAACAGCACAGATATAAAAATCCATATGAGATTCAGTTGAAGGGCAGAAGATAGTACATCCAAAAATGTCCATACCCCATATTTTGTTTCATATTTACGTTCAAATATTTTCCTGACAGACAAAGACCTTTTCTGCGCATGCGCTGAGAAAGTTTCATCACTAGTAATGTATGCATATCACTAGGAATGTAGTATAATGACTGTCACCTGATGTTCTCCAGCCATTACAAAAATATTAGGAAAACGTCTAACGCCACAAATAATTAGCAACTTCTATCCACTGGAATAAAGTAGACGATTATAATCAAATCAGGATCAATTAAACGGTAGATTGGATTGTGCGTGCGTATTTGCGCATCAAGTCCCCAGGCAGGTCAAGTGATGGAGTGCGCATGCGCACTGTAAATCACCAAAGCCCTAAAATCACCAAAGCTTGTTTTTCTAGTACGCAGCAGCCGCTCAACAGTGATGGATGGATGCATTTGGAATTCATAAGCATGCAAAAATAAAAATGTACGACTTCATCCAACGCTAAAGCACAAGGAACGGAAAAGAAAGGAGTGGGTGAGTTTAAAGCGCTTACATTTATCCGAGTCAATGTTTACCTACATACTCAGGTGAAGACAGACCTGTAAACATAGTGCGCATTGCACACAAATGTATTTATTACTGACTTCCATGGCTTGGTATTTTGGCGAATGCTGTTTGAAATGGAAGGACCCCGCTCCCTTAGATTCCAGTGACTCTGATATACGTTCCAATGTACACCCGGTCCAGTTGATGACCAACACAAATCACACTTCAACAGACAAATAAAACTGAAAATCTATTTTTAAACATGGTACTCGTCAATGAATATGTCATTTCAGTATTCTTATAAGATACAGTACACTAGGATTCAGTCCACATTGAGACAGACTAAACATAACTTATCCAACCTCTAACACGGCACGAAGTCTTGTTATGTCTGGATTTCTGACAACTATAAACCATCTGGGCTGTTTAAGTGGGCTCTAATGGAGGATGAATGCGCATGGGACAATGAATGGATCACAGAAGCATTACAGTAGCACTGACAGTCTTACAGTTTATAAAGGAATCATAAACTTTATTAGCTTATACCCGATTAGATTGATTACTTATAAACCTCAAAGGAATAACAGTACTGATTTAATACTGAATAATTTTCTTCTTTATATGGTAACTTTTGTTAGCTGTTAAGACATTTTTTTTAAACCAAAGTACATTGTATTACCAACAATGTATCATACCTCCATAAAATGTTTTGTTGTTGATAATTACGAGCTAATTTCGACTCATTCATGTTAACGTTTAACCAACAGCACAGATATAAAAATCCATATGAGATTCAGTTGAAGGGCAGAAGATAGTACATCCAAAAATGTCCATACCCCATATTTTGTTTCATATTTACGTTCAAATATTTTCCTGACAGACAAAGACCTTTTCTGCGCATGCGCTGAGAAAGTTTCATCACTAGTAATGTATGCATATCACTAGGAATGTAGTATAATGACTGTCACCTGATGTTCTCCAGCCATTACAAAAATATTAGGAAAACGTCTAACGCCACAAATAATTAGCAACTTCTATCCACTGGAATAAAGTAGACGATTATAATCAAATCAGGATCAATTAAACGGTAGATTGGATTGTGCGTGCGTATTTGCGCATCAAGTCCCCAGGCAGGTCAAGTGATGGAGTGCGCATGCGCACTGTAAATCACCAAAGCCCTAAAATCACCAAAGCTTGTTTTTCTAGTACGCAGCAGCCGCTCAACAGTGATGGATGGATGCATTTGGAATTCATAAGCATGCAAAAATAAAAATGTACGACTTCATCCAACGCTAAAGCACAAGGAACGGAAAAGAAAGGAGTGGGTGAGTTTAAAGCGCTTACATTTATCCGAGTCAATGTTTACCTACATACTCAGGTGAAGACAGACCTGTAAACATAGTGCGCTGAGACCCTAATCAGACTGTTTTCTGCATTAGCGACTAATATTTCAATGATTTTCCCCCCAGTTTCTTAATAACAGTAACTATGATTGCACCTCTGTTTAATGTAGCGTGTTGTAATAGCTTATGATTAAGCATGCATGAACATGCATGGCAGCATCGTCGCGATTTATTAATAAACGTGTATTAAAAACGTCCCAAGAACGTAAGAAATGCTCTTTAGAGAGATCGGATGTAACATCGGCTTATGTATTATGTAAAGAATATAAATAAATAATGTGTGCACTGGGCTGTATAACCTACTCTAAGAACAGGAATAGCAATACACTCCTCCGTGCACAGTAACTGATTGCAATACTAAAATCATCGCTATGCACACTATGCACTACTAAGAACAGATGGTGAGTGAGTCGTGAAGTATGCGAACGTGCATGGACAAGACTGACACATTATTATGTTCACTGCGTAGGTGATTATTTCAGCAGGGCCAAATGTCTTCCAATAACAGCATCATGTCCAAGAACATCCGGACGGAGTACATGAAGAAGTTCAGAGATCCCAAGTGGCAGACGTTCTCGAAATGTTACGAGGACTCTGTGAAATACAGACTGACGCGGAGGCTGATGGAGCAGACACACAGACCGTTATTTGGGGACGGATGGGACAGCGGGTCCGACTCGAGCGGAAGGTCCAGTCCCAAACTGCAAGACGGGAACGTCTCGAATGCCAAACACTACACATCCTCATCAGAGTCCAAGAACGAGAACGCAGAGGTTCAGAGCTCCTGGAAGCCACAGGTGAATGGAGAAGTTCACACAGATACGAGTGCAACCGTGGAAAGCTCACGTCCCTTGGGTAGGTTCATGTCTTGCCAGCTTCAGTGTGTTGGAATGACTGAAACCTGATTTATATTGTCATTTCTGAGTGAGCTATTCCTTTAAACCAGGGGTCACCACACTCCTGGAGGGCCGGTGTCTTACAGAGTTTAGCTCCAACTTGCCTCAACACGCCTGCCTTGAAGTTTCAAGTATACCAAGCAAGAGCTTGATTAGCTGGTTCAGGTGTGTTTGATTAGGGTCAGAGCTAAACTCTGCAGGACACCGGCCCTCCAGGAACAAGTTTGTTGACCCCTGCTTTAAACAAACTACTCATTTTGCTTTTATCGCAGAGAATGGTTATAAAGATGTGACTCCTAACGGACCATCAGAATCGAATCCAAAACGGCGACAGAGACAGCGGGCGCCCCGTTCAGAGCCATGCTACCCTAATAAAGTGCTGGATAGTGATGAATCTCAGCTATCTGTATCAAGAAAACCATCCAGGGCTAAGAGCCAACCACCGGGCAACACCAAGGAGCGGACGTCCAACCGTGAGAACAGACGGTCTTTTATCCATTATGACTGGGCAGAAAGGCACATTGAGACCAGGGACCGAAGGACACCAGATATGAGAACATCTATGTCCGCTGGAGAGGTGAGGCCTGATATTAACAGCAGCTTTCTGTATTGAATCTGATATGTGACCCTGGAGCACAAAAGCAGTCTTGGGAGTCGCTGGGGTATATTTGTAGCAATAGCCAAAAATACATTGTATGGGTCAAAATTATAGATTTTTCTTTTATGCCAAAAATCATTAGGATATTAAGTAAAGATCAGGTTCCATGAAGATATTTTGTACATTTCTTACTGTAAATATATTAAAACGTAATTTTTGATTAGTAATATGCATTGCTAAGAACTTCATTTGGATAACTTTAAAGGTGATTTTCTCAATATTTGGATTTTTTTGCACCCTCAGATTCCAGATTTTCAAATAGTTGTATCTCGGTCAAATATTGTCCTATCCTAACAAACTATACATCAATGGAAAGCTTATTTATTCAGCTTTCAGATTTTTACCATTCAGAAAAATTTACCATTATGACTGGTTTTGTGGTCCAAGGTCACATGCGTCACATGCGTCACAAAGTTCTGAGATATTGTTGTAAATATATTCAAAATATATATATATATATAAGAAATATGTTGCTAATATTACATCCAGTCATACTTTATGGCCATATATTAAAGAACATGTTTTTTTTTTAATTAAAAGTTTCAGTTTATAATGATAACATATTTTGGCTAGAATGTTTTATTTATTTTTTTGATGTATACAGAAATTAATTGCTAATCATTTTTATTACAAATATTTAAAAACAAATATATATATTTTTTCTTATATTATGTGTATATATATATATATATATATATATATATATATATATATATATAATTTTTAATAAAAGATCATTTCTATATAAAAAATATTTTTATTACTCCAGTTTTTTTTAAATTATATTTTAAAAAGCTGCACTGTATTTTTTCCTGCATGGGTATCCATTAGCAGAAGTGAACAAGAGTGTTTTTAGCAGATTTGAATAAATGATACAAACAAAGAGGGACATTTTGAAGTGACTAAACAGCCGTGTACTAATCAGTGGAATGAAGCACTGTGTGACATCTGACACTGCGTGAGGAAGCGGTGAATTATTCAGCGTGGAGCAGTGATATCCTGAATCTACAGTCAGATTACCTTCTCTGGTATACAAAAGTTTAGTAGGTTAAACAGAGCTGGATTTCACCAGTGTAGAAAACTGCAAATGAGTCGAGTCAGAGCTCCATGAAGCTGAATAAATCTGAATTCATGTTCAGATACATCGGGCCGACGTGGGCGTCCAGACACGAAGAGAGGCTAAAAATGATGGAAGATCATCAGAGCGCCGGCGGGCGAGGTCCGCTGACCCGGAGAAGTCCCGAAGATCAGCACTGAGTGGGGCGGACGAGCGCTGGATGACCGAGTACATGCGCTGCTTCTCTGCTCGACTGAGATAGAGGCTGATCCAGGACCAGTTCATGTCACTGGATTTGATACGAGGAGGCCGCAAGAAAAAGATCCCAAACCAGCACTACAGAAGAGTTTGATGCCACTGAACAACTGACAACAAAAACTGAACAAAAAGTTACACGCACTCCTTTAAATTCAATACGATATACCGAAGTTCTTTATGAAATATTACAATACTTCATATTTTTTGATGCTGGTTACAGTCACTTTCTCATGAATGCATTTAAGGACCAAACATTGATCTACTACAACCAAAACACATTTGGTATCACAAATACTTTGTTTTTAATTTGTTTCTAATTATTTATTGGCATTTAATGAACATTTTATTTCCAGATCTTCTGTCATGATTTTTAACTGCAGGGATTTAATGATCAAATTGCATTTTTGAGTGGACCAAGCATTTCATGTAAAGATGGGTGATTTGTTTCTGACTCGGATGCTTGTTGATTCTGAAGCGTCCAGAATGTTATGTCAGCTGTAAAACGTACTGTTCTTTTGAATGTGATTGACGATGTTTGGTTTGTTTTAATCGATCACATGGTGAATGAATTTGTGTTTGAGAGGCCGTGTTAGAAGTGCAGTGTTGTGCAGCTATATCCTTTTGCAAGTCGTGAAATGTTTTCTAAAAAAGTGTATTTTCCTCACCGGTCACCAACAATCATCATTTAAATCCACTTTTTGCACAAAGATGTCAAGTAATTAATATTTTTAGATGGGAAAATAATTGAGGGCTAGTTGAAGGCCATCGTTTGATTCTTGTGTTATTTATTAGAGCACAGATTTGATATAAAAATACATATGTGCACACATGTATATATTTAGCTTCTCTGTGGTGTTTCAAATGCATCAGCACTGATCATAGACACGTTGAATGTGTCGTGACCCTTTACTTGAACCTTCGTGGTTCGCTGGGAGACCTTTCCTCTGCTCTTTATCTTCATAACTGGTTGCCTGGACTTTTTTTATTCAGTTATTCACTCATCATTTCATAAAAGGAAACTCGTTCAGTTTCAGGCTACTGACACTGTTGTTCTTGAATGAAGTATATGAAATATGCTAACTTGTGTTTACATTTTGACCACTGTATTTGTACATCCGAACATGCACAGGTAGATATATTTTCACCTGCAGAACAGAAGTACTCTTAATGCATTGCTATGAATAAACTATGTTTGAGTAACATCATGTCCCCTCGATATTATGTTCAGAAATCACAATATCATACAGCGCAATATATTAAACATCAGTATAAGTTTTAAGGCATGAATAAACACATTTTGTGTTGTTTTGTTCAACACACAGATTGTGCTATTTTTAATGATATTTATATCCAGAGTATTTTTTAATCGTTAATTTGTTTGTATATGTGTGTTTTGTTTGATCAAATAATACAGTGGGGTCCAAAAGTCTGAATCCACTAGTGATATTGCTATTTTTTGTTCTTTTCTGATTTAATGTTATTTACCACTTATGACTGGATTTGTGGTCCAGGATCACATATAGGCTTTCTAATGAAGAGTTTCTTCAGCCATCCAGCTATTTGCACATATGTCACAAACTGTCAGGCATCCACAGCACGGTCCAAATCACCTCGCCACCTCTGAGACCAGCTGAGGTTTAGTCTGGACCTGCTGATGGACAGCAGACGGCTCAGCGGTCTGAATCATGTCATGATGTGATGTATGTCTTTGTTTTCAATTGGCTGTTAAACAGCATGATCAGAAGTGCTGACATGCCATTGTGACCTGTTTAACCAGCTCTATAAATAAGACACCTGCTAAAAGTCTAATCTCACTGACAGCTGCACGTCTGTGCGATACTGAGGACAGAAAACCAAAGAGTGTGTGTGTATATACTAGGAGATGTGCCAGAAAGTGTGTCTCCAGAGAAGAGTTCTGTTTTACTGGTATAATGTGTCTAAACTAACATGTGTTGCTAGTTTTCTCATCAGAAGCTGGTGAATCTGTGCTGGCTGAGTTTGGTAAAGGCTCTGAGCACTCAGAGGTATGAAACTTTAGACACTCGTGTTACACTTGCACACCTCCTTCCCGTTACTCAGCAGATCCTGGGAGACGCTGATGAAGACCATTAACTAGACGAGCAGCTGTTTCCATACCACACCTGTCCACATTGATCTTCTGTTGACCACTGGACGAGGAGCTTTATAAGAGAGCAGATTGTGAAGGTAGCACACAAATACATCTGGAGAATGTCTGTTAAAGAGCGCTTCATCGGGAAATCAGTGTACAAACATCTGATGAACATCTTTTAAAAAGCAGTTTTAGTCAAAAACATCTTCTAAATATCTAACATCTGACAGAGATTTTTATTACGTTTTGAAGAAGTCTCTTGTGCTCATCAGGGCTGCATTTATTTGATCAAAAATACAGAAAAAACAGTAATATTGTGAAATATTATTACAATTTAAAATAACAGTGTTCTATTTTAATGTAGTTTAAAATATAATTTATTTCAGTGTTCAAAGCTCAAAGCTGTCACATGATTCTTCAGAAATCATTCTGATATGCTGATTTATTATCAATGTTGGAAACCGTTTTTGATAAACATGATAATCAGAACCAAAACAGATGTTTTTAGCAGATACGCCAGTGTCATCATGTGCTTGTTTTGAAGTTTTACAAAAATCAACATTAAGATCAGTGTTTTTATGATTAACGAAAACTATTAAAAACTGTGGTTAAAATAAAATATAAATATTAGGGGGAAATAGAAAAACTTAAAAATGAGACATGTTGCCTTGGCAACTAAGAAAAGCTCAAATAAAACTTAAATAAAACTAAAATTACTCAAACTGATAGAAACATTAAAAACAAACTAATGAAAATGAAAAAAAGAACAAAATTACTCAAATTAAAATATGGAAACCAAAGATGAAACTAAAAGACAAAAATAATAAATGCTACAATAGTATATAAATACGAATTCATGTAATTAATATGATTATATTTTAGAATAATATTACAAATACATGTTCAAATTCATTTCAAATTTATGTTTGAAATGGTAAAAAAATTGCATTGTGCCACTTTGTGTGCATCTGCTAAGAACACCCATGTGAACTTGAGAAGAACTAACATTCACTAAAAACCACCAAAACACGAGCTGAATAAACCCGGAGCAAATGTGATGAAGAAAAATTACGTTAGTGAAGAGAAAGGATTCTGCAGCATTTCAGAACAAGCCGATACAGATACTTAATTTGATGTTTTATTGATTTCAATGACATTCAGACCTTTATTGTGCCTTAAAACATCCGAAAGCATAAATCCCAGCAGCAGCCACACAGTAGATGCTTCAGGTTGGACGACCTTGACCTCTTGGCTTCACCTGATTTTCACAATGTAACGCAACAGTGTTCTCTACAGGTGAAGCTCCAAAAATACTCTGCTTCCAGCACTATTAGACAGACAATTAAAGGTGCTGTATGTAAGTTTTTGACTCTACTAAAGCATAAAAATACCATAATATGTTTGCAGATATTTAAGAAACATGCCAAGTTAACATACTTGTTTATCTGAAAAACAATGCTACAGTCAGTTATTCTCCTTTGAAAATGTGAGTTCCAGGCCGGAATGTCGGTCTCTGTTTTGGTTTGGGAAACCCGCCCACTGCCAGTTTACCCAATTGTATGTCGGGACCCCAGGTTGACAGTTGGGAGGAAAACAGTGCGTATTTCATTTCATTCATCATCAAGTGCGCTCGTTCCTGTTGGTGTTGTCAATCTGGCAACCTGAGTGTGCTCAAGTCTGAGAAGGAGGGGCTGGGTGAAAAAAACCCTCTCCAATATTTAGAATTTGGACTGCAATACCTAGATCAACCACTCGGTGTCAATCCTACATACAGCACCTTTAAATCCTTAGATTTAACACTATTAACAAGTGACAAAATATTGTTTCCAATCATGGCTGCTGGAAACAAAAATATACAACTCACACTCATTAAGACATGTCATCCCCCCAGCCCCGAATACCAGTTATTAAATGAATTATCAGAAACATACAGACTACGCTTCAGTGAGTCCTAATGATAAAATCACCCTGGTTCAGTGGGGTGAACTGAACAGCTCTCAAGGCCTGTTGTTCTGATGTTATTCCTGCATGATTTCCGCAGCAGGTGGGGGTTGAGGTCAAGAGATCCTGTGAGGGGAAAACCAGTCGCCATCTGCCCGCCTAATTCCCACAGGTGGCTTCTGTCTCGACCCATTACAGGATCAGCAGCGGCACAGGAGCCGATCTGCACGCCAAAGAGTTTGGTAATGACACCTAATAAATCATGATATAAAAACGGAAAAATGAAAAAAAAAACACTAATTTAACTTATATATTTTAATAATTGCATGCAGCTCTATACATTTCTGTAGCCCAAATATTAAAACATGGTGCTAGCAAAGCCAAGGTTATGGTTTTAAATTCAAGGGAATGCATGAACTGATAAATGTTGAATGCAATAAGACGCATGTAAACAAAACATCATACTATACAGGAGTACAGCAGGTGTAACGCAGACATCAAATCCCTCTCCTTCAGTCTTGATCTTCAGTCTGTTCACAGGATCAGCTAATCCACTGCTATGAATGCAGGGTACCGGGCCAAATGACACACAAAAACACTTCTGGGTCACAGGTATACACAACACATAACAGGTGACGCTAAATGAGGTCCTCAAGCTCAGTCCCAATTAAGACAGAAAATAAAAAAAATACATATATAATTTTTTTGATATATTTACAATTCAAAATAACAGTTTTCTACTTGAATATATTTGAAAACGTAATTTTTTCTGTGATGCAAATCTGAATTTTTTAGCAGCTATTATTCCAGTCTTCAGTGTCACATGATGATATCTAAAATGTCTAGTCAACATGAATCAAAACTGACCCTATTTATTTTCTTAATGCACGTTTTCATTATTGTGCATGATTCACTACATTATTCCAAAGACAATTATTGTAAACTTTATATAAAATTGCAATAACAGCCACTTTTCGCAGTAAATCCACATCCTGTTCTACATTGCTGCTTGTTATACTGTTCAATTTGGAAATGCATCACATTAAAAAATCTGTCTGTGAATCCCATTTCATCTGGAGGTTTGTTTATATTGTGAGATAGTGACTATAGCGAGAAAGGCAACTCAAACCCACCAGTGTGGCGTAACTGGATTCTCCGTCACTGAAGGTTAAAGCTCTGGACGCAGCTCAGTTTCCTCCACCATGTTTCCGAGAGCTGTTTGATTTTATCTGGAGTTTTTTCTCTTAGCGTGTGCATCGTCGGCCACGCCGCCTCCTCCACGTGCTGCATGCTGGCCAAGATGGCACCGTCGAACACTTCCTTCAGGTTCTTCTGCGTCAGTGCTGAGCATTCAGCAAACGTCACGGCGCCGATGCTCCGGGCGCACAGGCGGGCCTCGTCTCTGCTCACCGGTTTCTCCTGGCCGTCTGAGAGTCGGATCAGCACCTGGACATCCTCCTGCAAGTCACACTGGGTGCCCACGAGGATGATGGGAACTCCCGGACAGAGACGATGAACCTCAGGGGCCCAGCGGTCCATCACGCTCCTGAAAGAGGATGGAAGGACCACGCTGTAGCAGAGCAGGAAGACGTCAGTGTCACGGTAACAGAGTGGACGGAGGCGCTCAAACTCGTCCTGAAAACAGGAAGAAAAGTGAGGCAGCTGCCGCATTTTACTTAATTCAAATATTACAATCTATATTTAGCAATATATACCATACATTACAAAGAAGAGCAGCAAAAACTTGCATAATTTTCTTCAACCTTGCAAGTGCTTTTCTATTTATAACACAAGATATGCAAGCAAGTATGACAAATGATGAATTATAGCAGCAGTGTTGGGAAAGTTACTTTGGAAATGTGATAGGTTACAGATTACAAGTTACCCTATTTAAAATGTAATAGTAGTGTAACTTTTCAATTACTTTATTAAAGTAATGTAACTTATTACTTTTTGATTACTTTTCTAAATTTCTAATCAATGTTTATTTGCAACTGTTAATCATTTTCAAACATTTACACCATGCAGGGTTAACTAGTGCTCAACACGGTCAGACTTTCAAAATCCTTCATCCCTTGAATTAAAATGATCAAATTTGAACACATCCACCACAAAATCAGACTTTAGTACCGCCTTTTACTTTGAGATTGATCTGAAGTTCAATGCAGATTTAAAAGCATAAGAAATAGTTTACTGATACTGTTTTTGAAACCAAATCTTTGCAGAACTACAGGAAACACTGCATCTAACAATGGTTTGGAAAAAAAATAGTTCATTAAAAAATAATAATAAATAAAAGCATATACATCAACTCAAATATACATATATAATTTTTTTGATATATTTACAATTCAAAATAACAGTTTTCTACTTGAATATATTTGAAAACGTAATTTTTTCTGTGATGCAAATCTGAATTTTTTAGCAGCTATTATTCCAGTCTTCAGTGTCACATGATGATATCTAAAATGTCTAGTCAACATGAATCAAAACTGACCCTATTTATTTTCTTAATGCACGTTTTCATTATTGTGCATGATTCACTACATTATTCCAAAGACAATTATTGTAAACTTTATATAAAATTGCAATAACAGCCACTTTTCGCAGTAAATCCACATCCTGTTCTACATTGCTGCTTGTTATACTGTTCAATTTGGAAATGCATCACATTAAAAAATCTGTCTGTGAATCCCATTTCATCTGGAGGTTTGTTTATATTGTGAGATAGTGACTATAGCGAGAAAGGCAACTCAAACCCACCAGTGTGGCGTAACTGGATTCTCCGTCACTGAAGGTTAAAGCTCTGGACGCAGCTCAGTTTCCTCCACCATGTTTCCGAGAGCTGTTTGATTTTATCTGGAGTTTTTTCTCTTAGCGTGTGCATCGTCGGCCACGCCGCCTCCTCCACGTGCTGCATGCTGGCCAAGATGGCACCGTCGAACACTTCCTTCAGGTTCTTCTGCGTCAGTGCTGAGCATTCAGCAAACGTCACGGCGCCGATGCTCCGGGCGCACAGGCGGGCCTCGTCTCTGCTCACCGGTTTCTCCTGGCCGTCTGAGAGTCGGATCAGCACCTGGACATCCTCCTGCAAGTCACACTGGGTGCCCACGAGGATGATGGGAACTCCCGGACAGAGACGATGAACCTCAGGGGCCCAGCGGTCCATCACGCTCCTGAAAGAGGATGGAAGGACCACGCTGTAGCAGAGCAGGAAGACGTCAGTGTCACGGTAACAGAGTGGACGGAGGCGCTCAAACTCGTCCTGAAAACAGGAAGAAAAGTGAGGCAGCTGCCGCATTTTACTTAATAATTCAAATATTACAATCTATATTTAGCAATATATACCATACATTACAAAGAAGAGCAGCAAAAACTTGCATAATTTTCTTCAACCTTGCAAGTGCTTTTCTATTTATAACACAAGATATGCAAGCAAGTATGACAAATGATGAATTATAGCAGCAGTGTTGGGAAAGTTACTTTGGAAATGTGATAGGTTACAGATTACAAGTTACCCTATTTAAAATGTAATAGTAGTGTAACTTTTCAATTACTTTATTAAAGTAATGTAACTTATTACTTTTTGATTACTTTTCTAAATTTCTAATCAATGTTTATTTGCAACTGTTAATCATTTTCAAACATTTACACCATGCAGGGTTAACTAGTGCTCAACACGGTCAGACTTTCAAAATCCTTCATCCCTTGAATTAAAATGATCAAATTTGAACACATCCACCACAAAATCAGACTTTAGTACCGCCTTTTACTTTGAGATTGATCTGAAGTTCAATGCAGATTTAAAATCATAAGAAATAGTTTACTGATACTGTTTTTGAAACCAAATCTTTGCAGAACTACAGGAAACACTGCATCTAACAATGGTTTGGAAAAAAAATAGTTCATTAAAAAATAATAATAAATAAAAGCATATACATCAACTCAAATACGGTTATCTAATAAGCATGTGTCCTATTCTGTGCACTAAACTCCTGAAACATTGGTGTCTCTTTGTATATGATATGACAGTTTTCTCAAAATAAGTAAAAAGCTCATGAAGTCTAGAGCAGATCTAGAGATTATGTTTATGTGTTTGTGTACTCGTATATTGATGGCAGAGGCTGAAAACACCGCGAGCTTCAGTATAGGCCTATGTGTAGTAAATGAATGCGCATGTCTGCGGGCCGTTATAGGGCCGTATGTCTCAGAGTATTCAGTGCAATTTGGGAAAGAAATCAATTAAATCTGTATGTGGATGTGTGTATATATTAAAATGTAATCCCCTTTGTAATTGTTAACATTTCCATAAGTAACTGTAATTTAATTACACATTTTTTCTTAGTAACT